AATTATACCGGTTTCGTTCCCCTGCCGATACCCGTTTTCACAGAGCAGCCCGCCGCGGGATTCCCCGGAGGACCGGATCTTTCGCGTAGACGAAACATTAAAAACGCATTCCTCGACCCAACTATACAATTCCCCGTTCGTTTTTGGACGAGAAAGTCGTAAGGTAGAGATTGGGGAATTAGTTGCGCATCAACCAATTGACTTTAATTACGTGTTTACGGACACGCATCGTATGAGCTAAACAAGCTATCGCATTTCGTCATCTGTAGAAAAGATGCGTTTCCAACGTCTATTGTTACTCGGCGGAGAGGGAGGGATTGGGGAACGCCGTTTGTGTGATCGCCGTGATCCGATGCCGCGCGGCGAATTTTAAAAATTTGCCTCGGGATCTCCCTCGGGGATCGCCCTCGAGCATTCGCCTCTAGCACGGTTGCTAAAGAAGAAAAGGGGAGCGAGCGAGCGTTCTGGGGAGCGCGAGGGGGAGAGACGTTACGACATCGACATCGGTTGCGGGCTGCGAAACGCCGCGCTCTCGTACGATGTACGTGTATAGTTATATACAGTATTGAGAGCGTGTGTACACCAATTTAAAGAGTTCATCGATCAAGAACAGACTTTTATCGCTTGCTATAACGTTGCGCGGCAATATTGCTGCCAGCTTCTGTGCTGTGTGTGAATCCGCGTATACAATAAAAATTATAAAAAAAAAAAAAAGCGGAGTTCCAACGATACAATGAGACCGCGAAAAGAGGCTCGTTCACAGTTGACTTCGCGAATTGTATCGTCGTTCGGGCGACGCGGCGCGCGAGCAAAACTCACTTTCACGTTGCTCGCTCGCCCGTTCTCCTTCCTCGCGCGCCTTTCAGCGTGAATGTATATCTCACGTAAGCAAATGTCGCGCTCGCTCAATTCAACGACGGCAATATAACGATGATCGAGGATTACGACGATGACGATTGAATCGTCTGCCTGGAACGGCAGATTTCTTTTACCATCAAGGATCGCGCGTTATATCCGCGTATGTTTATAAGATGCACTTTATTATATGTGCCTAGACGCATATATATGTGTACCTCTGTTTATTGTACGTTTTAAAACTCGAGCTTATCCCACATGTGTGTGTGTGGTACCGCCGTTCCACCCCCACCGTCGCGATAACCGCTGAATCCTCGCGATCCATACAGCACAGAAGCTTGCAGCAACATTGCTACAACAATTGCAACGACTGCATTAAGCAGAGAAAGCAGCTTTTTGCAATTGTGAAACTTTTTAATATGATTGATTTAGATCCAGCAAGAGGGACTATAAGAGCCAGACCGATCATATCAATAAAGAAACGCACCAAGTCAAGAGAAAGTTAAAACGATATGACTTTCAGTTACGAAATTTGACCGTTTATCGACGTTAACAATTGAAATAAGGTCACTTTGATTTTTTGTCGACTTTTGCGTGTTTCCTGAGAGTATTAAAGAATTTTACAACAATATTGCAAAGCTGTTTTTTTTTTTTTTTTTCCTGTTGAACGCAGCCGATGTTACCGCAGGCATTGCTGCGGAATAATCAGAGTGCTGTATCGAGAAAATCTCCTTTCTCGTTCTCCATATGTCGCGCGCTGATTTCCTAGGATCAGGCGATCTCCCGCGGGTTACTCTCCTCTACGTACCTCTCGAGTGACAGCGCCTGGCGAACACGTCGCCCCCCCCTCCCCTCCCGCGACCGCCTCCGCCGTTCTCCACCGCCTACAATATGGTTCACAGACTGGTTCGCGATAGGCACTCGCGCTGCTCGTCACCGCGCTCTCTCCTATCCATAATCGGCGAAAGTAGCGTTGGCTCGCAGAGTGAGATAGTGCGTTTTATCCACGATTATCCGTCAAACTGTCAAAAAGTACTCGGTGACACGATCGGCGGGCACACTATAGCATCGGCAAATAGAAAAGAAAAGAAAAAGGGCAGCAGCACACGAAGGTCGATCCACGGACGATCCTCGCGGCGTGAACCGAGTTCTCCTCGCGACGGCCGCGGCTGTCGACTACTCGCGCGCGGGCACGAGCGAGCGAGTGAAATGAATGTGCGATCGAGGGGGGGGAGAAAAAGGGAAACGCGCGCGGGGTGCCTCGTTAAGTAAGGCGCGCGTCTTTATTCGGCCGTGCCCGCTGATCGCCCAAGAGCCTCCTTCGACCGCGGCGTATCGCCGTTCACTGCTCCGCCGCAGCAGGCCTTGCGCCTCGGCATCGCCGCGAGTGAGAGTCCACCCAGGACGTTCACCATGTTGGTGAACAGTCCTGGACGGCGCATGCGTGAGTACCACCCCCTTTAACTCGTTGTCTACCTTCACCGATGACGTCAAAAATAGGACAAGGAGCTGGTGGCCTTTGCTACAAGGCGCGCCGCGAAGGGGGTACGAGGGGTGGGGGGGGGGCGACGGCGGCGGAGGAGGGGGAGAGGGAGAGGGGGGCCACTGAACTGTCCCCCGATGTCTTCTGTCTCGACCTCGCCTCTCTATCTCTCTGTTTCTCTCTTCCTCCCGCCGCCCCCGTCACTGGTGGCGGTACCCCGGCAGGACCGGAGGCGGCTAACTGGCGGTTTAGCGCATGAGGGAGGAAAAGGGTACGCTTGAATTGTAGGAAGAATTGCAGGAGCGTGTAACAGGCGATCGAAGCGAGCACAAACACTCTTCATGTAAATTTAATGATTCATTAAATTTATTTTTCTGCTTAAAAAAATTAATTTAAGTTAAAGAGTAAATTTAATGACGCATTAAATTATATAAATTAATTCTTTCTCTCTTTCAAAAGCTTTTTGTAGAGAAATTATTATTCGGACGAGATCCAGGGTATTATCTATTCGCACATGTGACATCTCAGATGACGAACTCCTGCGAAGAGAATGGAGGGAACCAACGAGCGATGCTGGTCCCCGCGATCCATTTCTTCTCTGTTCCCCCGCTTTTTCTCTCTTCCCACTGGTGGATAGGGGGCCATGAGAGCCATGACTCTCCCCTCATAAACTCTCCTTTTTTAAGTATATTTATAGCAAAATGTTATGTAATACTTCTAAAATGCTCAATCGCGATTTTGATATGATTTGCGATGATTCTAAAAATATTTTTTAATTTAAGAAACTCCTAGATAAAAGACATAGATTTCGTTACATTATTGTGTTAATAAAATTATAATTAAAATAAATTGATATTAAATAATTTTAAAGAAAACAAGTTCTATGAATTGTATATTTAAATAACATTGTTTCAATGTATTAGTTTAAATAATAATTTAATATTTTCATATTTGACTTTTAAAAAATTTGCGATGCGCCAATGACAAATTTTGACAAATTTTTAAATCTGCTTATGTCTCTTCTTTTAGGAGGCCTCGTCAGCTGCTCTTTACCTCGTTATTTTACCACCTCGCGTCACGTACGTGCCAGCTTGCATGTGCACGTACACGTCGTCCGTCCGTATTACAAATTTTTGGTACCGATCGTGGTGCGTATCCGCAGCGGCATTAGACAGATATAATTTTTGGAACAGGGGGGTAGCGATCATTTAAAATTATAAAGCCTATTCTCTCTACATTGCGAACGGGTGTAACTTCCCTTACAGCACGACATACATATCATACATATCTATATTGTAGTAATATTTTAATATAGAATTTAATAAAACACATATTACAAAAATTATTTTACAATATATTGCTGCTATATTGAAATTTTAATACTTTATTGAAAATATTGCAACGATATTGTGTATAAACTATTGTAGTTCTAATGTTTTGTAGGAAATATTAATATATTGCTGCAATATTATTATTATTCAACAAGTATGTGATTCTGCAGATAAACTTGCTTCTCGTAAGAGTAAACATCCAGGAGTCTTACAAGAGAAGTTATATGCGGATCATAATAAATTGGCTAGTCACTTCAGTAGTTTCCAAGGAGTATGCTTTGTGAACTCCCCGAATATTTTTTATCATAACTTTGTCCTGCGTATTTTAGAATATGCTAATCAATAATATTTTAGTAATAAAACTAAATTAATGTATAGAATATATTTTTAAACATTGCAATAATATTTCATGCTGTAGGGATTTTTCCTTTGTAGGAAAAATGTAAAAAGTGAAAATTTTTATCATCGAAGTTAATGAAGAAAATGTTTATTTTTCACATTTCTACTACACAGGGTAAAAGTTACACGATCGGTGATTGCTGATTAGAGAGCGAAGTCGCGACATGTGTCCAGCCATCAAGGCGAGCATAAAGAATTATTCTCGTTCTCTTCAGTCTCTTTAGGTCTGTTTTTTGTGGCTAAACTAGTACGCACTTGTACGTAAAATGAAATAGGTATGTATTTTTAAGTTCGGCGAAAGCAAGATAGAAAGTTTTAGTGCAGTCAATTGCAACGGCAAACAACAGGCGCTGTATCGAACGATTCCTATGTTCCGGGATCTGGAATGTAGGTGACAACGTACGGCGTTCCGTGTCTCGTCGATTAAGAGCAAGCGCCTACTTTTGCTACTTTGCTACAAGTGGAATATCCGGTGGTGTCGGATGAATATTAATTCAAAATTCAACGTTCTTACCGTGCAGCATTTAGATTTTATTATCTCATTCAAATTGAGATGAATAAAAACGTATTTTAAATTGATCTATTATGTATACATCAACCTAAATAATCCGAAGAATTCTTGGTTTGACAAAATTTGTGTTTAATTTTTTCTAATTCACATGTACTTTGCAAGGCTATTATATTAATGAAAGACTATTTTGAATTATTTTTTTGTGGATTTTTAATTAATTTCTGAATCAAAATTTCTAAATTAATCTTTAACGAATTATTACAAAAAGATAATTATTCTTTCCAGTTCAGTTTAACTGAAAAAGTATTATATTTACCATCAAACAGGTTGTATGCGTGTGGGTGTACATGTATATATTATATGTATATATCGCGTGTGTATCTAACATATTAATTTAGGCAGTATCGATAAGAAAAATTAATTGATGTCTTCGGAGTTTATTAAAGCATAATACGTAAATACAAACAAAATCACGCTACGAGAGCACTGGCCGTTGAACTTTCGTATTTCCAATTTGGTGGCAGAGATCCTTTCGCCTTATAGTAACGTGCCAACCTGTGAATTCTTGACTCGACAAGAATTAAACGGAATTTGGAATCTTTATCTTTGCGATTTCGCTCCAAGTGCTTGCGAACAGCGACGGCCTTTTTGATCAGATAATAGAGATCCTCTGGTAGATCAGGAGCCAAGCCCATGCTCTTTACAATGCGCAGAATCTTATTTCCTGTACGGAATCGTACTTGTGCTACTCCATGCGAGTCACGAAGTATAACACCTATGAGAGTACAAAGCACATTATGTTATACATGTTGCCGTTTGTCATTTTATTGATTATCAAACTTATTATTTTATAAAAGTGTCAGTGATAACCTATTATGAAATGACAAGTGATCAAATTCACATCAAACATCACTTATAATCTTGCAAACATATTTGAAGGAATCAAATTAAAAATTCTAAAATCCCTGTACAGAGTTTGCTTTCAAATATATTGGATCCTTTGAATTAACAGCTAGTAAAGCTTTTATTAGCAGAAATATAAATGCATTATTAAAATTACCAATTTGAGATGGTGTGTGTCCTTTCTTTGCTAGCTTGTAGATAAGTTCTTTGCAATCTTCTGGTGTTAATTTCAACCAAGTTGGTACACTTCGTCGGTAAGGAAGCGCCGACTGGGATATACCTTTCCTAAAAAAATATAATATGCCATCACATATAATATATACTATTTCAAACTATAAAATATATTCTATAAAAATATGAATAACGACAATAAAAGGTTAAAAGCTAAATAGTAAAGACCAGTTATTGATAACTAATATATAAAAAGACATGAAATATTAAATAAAATTTAATATAATCACTATACTAAGAATAAGTATTACTTATTTCTCATATATTGTACACATTAAATTTTATTTATTATTTTATAATATCTTTCGTTTCTCTATAATATCCTTTTTGCCCATCTTTAGTTATCTTGCTTATATTATTGTATTAGTTATAGAAAATTAAGTTCTTTATTATCAAACATGTTTTTACTATACTATTAAAAAATAATAAGAAAATTAACATCACATGTCAGTAACTTGATTAAATACTTGTACTAGAGAAATATTTCTGACATTGCAGTTATAGAACGAACAACGCCATAATATAATCTGCCGTCGCGGTCACATCATGCTTATGTACTACACGTGATAGGTTATGTATTCGCAAAAGCAGCGTGCTCAGTTTACCAAGATTCAAGGTGCATCAAAAAAGCCGAATTATTAGTTCAACAAATTGTAAATTATAAATCCGATAAATAATAGATAATTAATCGTTCGAGTGAGAAGAATGGATAACGGAGCCATAAACACATGGTGACCGGATGAGCACGCCGACAAAACACCTCGACGCCGAGGATCTTTGTAAATACCGAACGTCGCGACGAACAAGAAATTGAAGAGATTGCGTTGATGATACGATAAATATTATTACGTTACCCATGTGAGTGCATACGACCCATCTTGACAGGATTTCTTCAACAGCAACGACGTCCGCGAAAAGAAAAAATGAAAGAGGACGGCGAGAAAAGATAGCGCCCTCCCGCGGCTGACGATAAGATTAAATTCCTAAAGACCTGTTTGCAATACCGCATTCATTAGGTCCATTTTTTACTACTCCTGCATCTAAACTGGTGCTATTGTTGCATATCTATTGTTGCACGCGAACAAATTCACTTATTACAAAATATTTATAAAAGATCTGTTCGCGTTGCTTGCACTTTTTGCACTCATTTTACATTCACCATCTTTACTTTTTCTCTTTTGCGTGAACACGTAAATATATATCTATCTCATTTTAAATTCAAAAATTTGTGGGAATTTCAAGCAACACGAACAGACCTAATTTCATTGATTAACATTTATTTAATGGATTTGTTCACATTATTTTTTTTTTCGCTCGTTCAAATTCAAATCGTACGATAGGTACGCTTACTTCCGTTCGGTCGAGTACTACGCGCGACATTTCCCGTACTTTCGCCAGTTTCGCCTCATCGTCGCGAATGCAAGGCCGGAAGTGACGTCCCAACGTCATCCATACACACCACTACGGCAAGCACGGCGTCCGCGATCCAATATGTCCGTAGTCTCGCGATAGAACGCGTTATTTTTCGGTATACTGCCGCAGGAGAGAGTCCGATAAGATAATTCCAGTACGAACGGCTTAAGGCCGTTTCGTCTGTACGAGGATCGTAGGATCGGAGCCGCATGCCCGCGATTCATCGGCGACACGATCACGGAAAGAATCTCAGAGCAACACCGAGAGTAATAAAACGAGAGGGACAGAGTGAGGAACAGTTAGCGTAGGAGGAAAAGAGAGAGAGAGAGTGAGAGAGTAAAGAACGAAGCGAGACAGAAATCGAGAAGCGTCAACTCGCATCGGTGCATTATCGGTACGATTCTAGACGTCTTCGCGAGCCTATTCCCACAGTATATCGAGTACCATTGGGTGCGACTGCAACGGCGAGCTCGGTAACGACCTTCGCGAACTGTCGTCGACGACGCCGAGAGCGCGCGCGGAATCGTAGGATCGTCCACCGCGACGCCGTCATCAACCTGCAGCTCGTCAGGGTGATCGAGTCGACAACGTTTTCCAAATGTCGATCAGCATGTGGAACGACTCGGCTACGATTTGAGATACCAGAGCGGGCTCACCGCGCAGCATCGAGTAATCTTCATTTAGATTGTTCTGTTTAGGATATCATGGGATTCATTTGTAAACTGTACTCGAAATAAATTTCTATACTTCTGTTTTAATGAAGAATCTAGCGATATTTCTTGGTGTAATTTAGGACAACTGAATGATTTGTTATTTTGCTGAAAATAGACAGCACAGTGGATATAAATTGACATAATGTATTCTTGATTACAGATCTATGAGAGAAATTCAGGGGGTATGAATTGTAGCGGTAGTCAAGATGTCAAGCGACAGTGATAGTACTTGTTTGATACGTCATCATAGTCACAAACGCAAGAAACTCGTCATTAGCGACAGTGATAGCAGTGATGAATCTGTTATTGTACAAATTCGAAGAAAAAAGAAACTTGTACGTGTGGAAGTACATTAATTATTGAAATATTTTTTAATATTAATTAAATTAAATGTTTAACTGCGTAGTGTTTGTAGAATTTATTAAATCTTATTTGCATATAGCATTAATCTGGGTTAGATTAATGATAATGGATTGGTTTTATGTTCTCCTATTGGTGGAGCATATGTAAAGTCCACCAATAGTAAAGTACTTTCTAATCCAGGTTGGTGCAAATCCTGTCAGACTGAAAACCATAATAGTCTATTAAATTTCATTTATATTGCCTTATTTTTAAGTATATTGTTAAAAATTTATATTAAATTGCATTTATATTACTGTTCCAGAGAGTCGTTAGTGAAGGAGAAAGCAGCAGCGATAGTGATGTACCTAAGCCTGTGATTAGACGACAAAACCATGTAAATATTATGACTGTTATTTTTTTAAAAGAAATATTTAGCCAAGTTTATTGATGATGATGACATATCTTTATTAATATTATTTTGTTGCAGAAAGTTATTAGTGATGAATCTAATAGTAGCGAGGAAAGCAGATCCATGCATATTACAGATAGTAGTAGTGCATCCGAATGGGAAAGTGATTGGACTAGTTCCGATGAGTCAAGTAGCGATACTTACAATTGTACTGCTAAGCGTGAAGTTTTACCTAAAACTAAGAGGGAGAACGCCGAAAAACCTGGTTCCTCTTTATCAACCAATGCCAACGTTAACTCTGATAGTGATGATCAGTCAGAAAAATGTCCTATATGTCTGATACCATTTAAAGAACAGCAAGTCGGTTCTCCATCTGTATGCGACCATTGCTTCTGTTTAGAATGTTTATTGGAATGGAGTAAAAACATTAACACTTGTCCGGTGGATCGCATATCTTTCACTACAATTGTTGTTAGAAATCGTTTTGACGGCGAGGTAATTTTTTGTACAAATTTGTTTTTTAATATTGTATGATTTGAAAAAAATTAACACGAATAACCAAGCTATATAAAAAAAAAAAAAAAATAGAAAAACTACTGAAATATATAGAGAAAAAGAAACAGAGAAATAGAGGAAATTAATTAAAAATGTATATCGCAATTTTAATATATATATATATCATATTTTTTATTTTACATAGATCATAAATCATTTACCAGTAGAAGTTGTGCCACGTATTGAAAATCAACTGACGGACGATCCAACTTTTTGTGAAATATGTCATCAAAGCGATAGAGAAGATCGAATGTTGCTTTGTGATGATTGTGATCGCGGTTATCATATGGAGTGTTTAACACCCCCAATGACTACAGTCCCCATTGAAGAATGGTATTGTCCGAGTTGTATCCAAAGCAGCTCGACTAGACGATCGGTAACAGCTTATTCATATTTAAAAAATATTTAAAGACGAGTTATACATTATAGCAATATATATTTTTTTAAATTACGATTTAACTGACAATTTTTTCATATATTTTTTAAGTTTAATATGCATTGTCTTGCATATTACATGAGCACATTTTAACCATAATATTAAATGATACCAATTTCAATATAGATATATTTGTATAACTCATATTTTTATAATATGAGATTTTTTCATTAAAAATATGTATAGTAATTTTAAAAAATTGCAACTTAAACTAAATTACAGAATATATAAAATCAAATTGAAATTGTCTAATATCAAGATAATTTATTTTAAAAGAACTAATTTTTTAATATAATATTTTTACATATGGATTAATTAAGTTTATATATGAAATATTCTTTGATGTATAAAAGATTATCTTCTAGTAGCTTTTATAAAAAATCAAGTGTAATAAACACAAAAAAATAAAAACTGATTCCTTTTATTTATTTTTGCAGTATTTGTCGAGTTTTGTGCCAACTCTTATAACAACAGGGAGAACTGCTCGATACTTTCAAGAATTTGAAACACAATTCAACATATTCCGTAATATGCATCCTCATCTTAGTGCGTATGTACCTGCCAGACGTGTTTCCAGACTCAATTCTAGGCGCAATCGTAATAATCGAACAGATGAGCAATTTATTGATCCAAATCAGCCGTCAACTTCATCCGGCATTGATTCGATTGGTGACAATAGTCGAAGTCGTTCTCCAAACACTAGCCTAGAGGGTAACGCTCCTTCCAGGCGTTCGAATACAAAATCTAAGACCAAAATGCCGAAAAGAAAAAAGAAAAAACTCACAAAGAATTCGAAAAAAAGCGGCAATAATTTATTTCGAGAAGTGCGAATTAAAGAACTCAATAATGACGGCGAAGAGGAAGAAATTGTGACGTATGTCAAAATTGCATCATCCACGTCAAGGAGGAAGTGTAAGAAACGTACAAAAAAAACGGGCAAGGTATAATGTTAATTTCTCCTCAAAAGTAGCATAATAGCTTAACACGTAACATTGCTCATCGCATTGCCAGATGCGTATATAACATTTTTAATCTTTTTAATGTTTCGCAATAAGATAAATATATTTATATTCCGTTGGCATTCTTTTAATTGATTTACAAGTAAAATTTTTTGTGTAATTCCCGTGTCTGTGTATTTATTGAAATATATATATATATATATGTACAATTTTGAATTTTTATAAAATTGAATTGTACGGTCTGGTAATGCCAGGGTGTCTCACTAAGTGTTCATCATATTGGTCTTCCGATCCAGACTATCCGATCACTACTGTATTCCCCAATCATGCTACCTTCGTAACACAATTAAATTGAATTAGACTTTTCGATTGTAACTCATTGTTCTTAATTTATATAAATAAAACGATTTTCTCACACTAGATGCACTTGGTTTTTTTTCTTAATTTTGCAAATGACTCATACGCTAAATCTTAAAAACTTCCTTTATCATATTTATACGCTAAATCTTAGAAACCATTTAACTTTAAGATTAAAATCACGTGTGTGATTAATTCCTTAGTACAACTCTTCTATTTGTAATATATTTTTATATAATCCGTGAAATATAAATTATATTAATATAAGTTAATAAAATGATATACTTTTATAATAAAACATGTTAAAAATAATTAAATCATGTAAAGAAGATTGTCCTAAGAGCATTACTATCAACAATGATACATCTACTTAGAATAATATTAGGAGCAATATAAGCCAAATGTTAAAGAACAATGAATTTACAAATTAATTTAACAGATCTATTTTATTGAGACTTTTAATTATCTTGCTTTTAAAATAATTGTAATATACTTCGTATATTAATTAAACTATATATATTTCCTAAAAAAAATATATATATATTACATTTTAATCAATAAAATCTATTAATTGCTTACTTTACTAACTTACTCTAACTTATCTGTCTTTTTCTAAGATGAATTAAAAAAATTTTAAAGGATATTTTTTTCACATCGCCTTCTCCTCACGCTATACTTTATATTTTATTTTCATTTAATTTTTGTTATTAAATACATTGCATTGTTTATCATATTTTTTATAATCTTTATAAAAGCACATATGTAGTTATTATTTCTCCAGAGGAGAAAATACAAACGACGTGCGCGCATTGAAGCATCCGTGCTGAGTACACGAACGGTAAAAAGAAGATTGGCCTCTACACTCGGTATGCAGAAATCGAAGATGCCGCAACTCATACCCATCGTGAAAAATAACATCTCTATACCTGAGAAAAGCGCTCTCATAAATGCCAGACACAGTGCTGGTATATCTCAAGTCAGTCTCTTTGGAAATAATTTGGGATTAGATTACAGTCCACCTGGGTGAGCGATTGATCCTATTTATTCACTCTTTTAATTGCTCCTTTCCCTCTAAGTGTGTGTAATTCTTTTCTTGAACGCAGATAAAGATGCAGTATGTTTCATTTGATTAATACTAAATTACACACTTTATTTTAGATAAAATGCACCTGCTTGAGATACTGCTCTATATAATGTTTAATTCTCCAATGTTTAGATGATTTTTAGTTTAAAAAAGTTTATAATAAAAATAAAAATATAAGAAAATATTTTTATAAAAAATAATATTTTTTTTAGATCGGACGATGACGATGAATATTCCATTGGAATTGGAAGTGGTCCTATGATAAACGTACGACAACGACGATCGGTGATACCGTCGATCAGACGTCGCGCTATTTTAAAAACTATCGTCGATCCGGTCAACGAAGTAGTAGATAATACTGGCATAACAGATCTATTGAGCAGTATAATGAGCAGTCAGGAGCTGTGGCATTCGACCAAGAAGAAGACGGACATGGTCTTGAAGGCTGACGGCACGTTGTTGGTGAAGAATTTTGAAAAGGAAAACAAACATAGTATCAATAACAATGAAAGTCCGAAGAAGGAGAAGCAGGATGAGGAGGAAGTTACGCAACATGAGGAAGCAATTCTGGAAAAGGTGGACACACCGTTGGATCTGTCTAACATTAATTCTAGTGATATTACGCAGGCTCCAATGTACAACAATCCCTGTGGCGGAGGCGGTGGCAGTGGTGGTAATAGAGGCAACTTCCGGGGTGGTTATGGTCGTGACAATAGTCGACACGGTGGCCACGGAGGGCAGACCTACGGCGGTGGCCGGGATTCATTACCGCCAAGCGGTGGTGGTAGGCACAATTACAGCGGCGGGACCGGCGGCAGTGGTCCGCGGGACAACTTTGGGAATCGCGACTTCGGTCCGTCGCCGTTCTACAATCCAAATTTTGAGCACTGTGGCGGACCGCCCATGTTTAGCGCCCACGCGCCGCCGCCGCCGTTCCGCAGCCGCAATCCTCAACATTTTCGTAATGAACGGATGCGTTTTCCGCCGCCACCACCGCCCACCGAACGACCGTTTAATTATACGGACGGCAGTGGCGGTTTTGATCAAAGACCGCCATTTCCGCACGTGACGGATCGATTCTCTAGACCTCGGCTACCCCCGTTGGGCATACCGCCTCCTGGTGGTCCACCCATTGCACCACTAAACGCACCGGAACTCATAAATGTGCAGCAGCCGGTACACATGCACAACAATCTAACGTCGGTTAATCTGCCGGAAGATGTAACGCGAAATTATCAGCCGCCATCTGAGCAGAATGATCACATTGTGATGCCGGATTCCGTGTCCGTGTCGCCTGTAATTGCGTCACCCGTGGCTGCATCACCTGCTACACGGCAAGATAACGATGATTGCGATATCTATTGCGACATCGAACCACTAGCCAAGTCTGATTGCGATCCGCAGGAAGAGTCTCACAATAATAGCTCGATGATTTTGTTGCCACCGCCAGAACCGCCGTCTGGTTTGTTGAATTTCGAGGAAAATTCCAGAAGTGACAAGGATGACAGTGAGCAAGAATTGGTGATTGACGATAGTCATAAGGAAGAAACGCCAAGAGATGTGCCGGCAAGCGGCGACAAATATGATCCGTTTGCAGCCGACAGTGACAGCAATGACGATGTAGCCGCTCCGTTAAAAACAATATTGGAGAAGGCAGATATGTTGCAGAACATCACAGACAGTTGTAATATACCTATGCCAAGTATATCACGGTCGATCTCTACGACTTATCCTTCAATATCAACTGTCGCAACGACAGCTCAAAGCAGAGAACATACACAGATGCCCATTCGGTTGACTGCGTACGATGATGATGATGATAATGACTCACAGTCGGACTGTCCAAATTTTTCCATCTACTCGTCGCAGACAATGGACGTGGCTAGACATACAGAGCAGGAATTGTCACAGCAGCTGGGATCATTACAGCCGCCACCGTTACCGCCCAGCATCCCCGATGATGATGATATTATTGTGGGTGACATTCAAGCCTGTGATCTTCCAGATGTGCCACCTGAGCCAGCTGATCCTTATCTTGAAGCGCTACAGAAGGAGCGTCAAGCCTTGAGTAAGATACCGCCGAAGAAGATCTCACATGACTCGCATCGTGGTAAGATTATCTTCAAGATCGGTAACAAAATTAGACTTAACAATCGGCTGAGTGGCCTGCAATTGGACGATAATTCGCAGAACAGTGTTCTTCAGAAAAAAACTACGACGACGCCGAGTGACAAACAGCAACAAGAACAAGATAGTGATGTCAGTTTGTCAAAATCAGAGATTGAATCCACTGCCGTACAATCGTCGATAACGTTAGACCAGATAAAAATAATAGAACCACAAATTGAAGAAGAAAAGGAAAAAGAAAAAAATATGGAGCTTATTTCGGAAAGCCCGAAAGAGAAAGAGTCATTTAAACTTGATAGTCAGCGTGGAAGCAAAGAGTCCCGTTCTGACAGCTTATCAGATGAAGAAGCTACAAAGATGGACAAAAAACCGAAACATGACGATACTTCATCTGACAAAAAGGAAGAGGAAGACAATGAACAAGAAATGCAATCGGCAGCGACAAATATAACACCACAAGAGACCACAATGGTCACGGAAAGTGCAATGTCATCGCCCACTCTTGAGACGGCTCGGTTATCACCAAGAAAATTGGACAGCAGCGAGCTGAGTATTGAATGTAGCTCGGAAGACTTGGAAGGTGGTGACACAACGAACAAGACTATATTATCTCGTTCGAACATCGGTTTACAAGATGAGATGGCTGTAGACGACTCGCAAGAGCGAGAATCAAGTAGTGACGACGAGCGTTCACCGAGCAGCCATAAACTTGACAAAGCGGAGAATAACAAGGACGACAAGGATGATGATAAAGTATCGAGCGACAACGAGGATCCAAATTTGTCGGATCAACGACAGGAGAAGGAAAGTTTCTCGACGGTGGATGATGAAGTAGAACAATTCCCAATCGAGAAGGACAAGGTAAACGAATCATCTGTACCTGTCACTTGTACTGATAACAATTGGGATTCGGATGGCGCTTACACACCTTGCAAAGATGAGTTGCCCGTAAGGGAGGAGATGGTGGAGCGATGTACAGTGCCGTTCGAAGCTGGCTTGGAGCCTATCACACCGACGAAGGATAAAACGAATGATGATCTGGATGACTTAAGATCGCCGGTTGCTTACGCCGAGCTAGGCACTGAGGCAATCTCCGAAACCGACGACGTGGTAAATTTCGAAGAGGAATTGATCGCCTTGGCGTTACGAAAAGAGAAAGAGAAAGATATGGAGGATGGCGAGATATTAGACGAGAGTAAACTGGACATGAAGGAGCGTGAAAAATTGAGAGAGGATAAAGAAGACAAAAAGAAGAAGAAAAAGGATAAAAAGGAAAAGAACAAGGAGAGCACGGAGAAAAACAAAGAGAACATTTCATCAGATAATTTAGTCTCTTGGAAGAAACTTTCAAAGAATACAAAGGACAGACCATATCGCGACAAGGATAAACGGTCTAGGTCGAAAGAGAAGGAAAGAGAAAAGGACAAATCTTTTAAGAAAAAGACAAAGGAAATTAGTAAGAAAAAGGAAAAGAGGAAAGAGTTGCCACGATATGACGTAAGAAAGATCGTGGCCGAGAAACCGTCACGACCGAGAAAGGACGAGTACGGCAGGGATATTAGGGAGAAGTCGCGAAGCCGATCGAGAAGCCGTTCATCGAATAAAATTCAGTTAGGCTCGAAAGATCGACGAAGTCAATCATATTTGAAGGGACGATCTAAGAGTAGATCCCGTCTCCGATTGTCCTGGTCGAGAGATCGTGGTCAATCGTACTCGAAATCATGCCGTTCCAATTCGCGCAAAAGATCATCGTCTCGTATTAGACGCAAGTCGCGAAGGCGATCTCTATCAAGACGGCGCTCCATCTCTCGTAGAAAATCGCGATCGCTGTCTCGTAAGCGGCGATCACTATCACCTAGACGACGTAGACGATCACTGTCGAGATCACGCGATAAGCGGAAGGAGAAGACGAAGAAGTACAAGTCGCGCAGTCCATCGCGCTCCAGGAATCGTAAGAGATCGCGTAGCAAGTCGCCGAAGAGAACGTCCAACACACGCGAGAAGAAGCATGGCAAGAGGAAAGCGCACAGTCGCTCACGGTCGAAGCCTAGGTCAATCTCGCGAGAACGGGATCGTAACAGGAATTGGGAACAGCTGAACGAAAAGAGCGTGGATCAGGAACAGCAGTTTCCACGCGAACGCGAACAGCGCGAACGTTCGTGGAGCGCACAGTGGACACCGTCCTGGTCGCGTTCGAGATCAAAAACACCAGCACACATTCAGCAGGAGCCGATCGGAGCGCGAAATTGGTCACCACCATCTGTTTTGGATAATGTGTCGCCAAAGAATCTGACTGTCATACTAACAAACAAGGAGGCGATAAAGAAGAAGAAGAAAGAACGACGGAAAGAGAATCGGAAGTCGAAGGAGACAGAGAAACGGCGAAAGAACAAACGTATCAGGACTCCACCGCCATCAAAGGAAGTATTTGCCAGTGGTGACAATATACTGGTTAGTGTATGCTTTAATAAAGACAACGAGACAAATCCGTTGGCTTTGCCAGAGTTACCAACCATTCCATTATCGCCTCCGATGAAACGTCGTCGAAGAGAGTCCGTTCAGACAGATACTACGCCCTCCGCGAAGCGATTGAAGAAAGATAAGACGAAAGATAAGCGGTCGAAATCACCGAAGATGAAGAAGGATAAGAAAAAGAAATCCAAGGCGGCAGAGATCGCAGCGACGAAGAAACCCGTAGCCGTAATTGATTTGGATCAATCACCGTTCCGCGAACAAACACCATCGCCTCGCGATGTTATAGTATTGAGTGACGACGACGACAAACAGGTGCAGAAAACGCTTGCCGCATCACCGGAACAATGTCCGCCATCGCAAGCATCGCCACCTCGCGAACAGTTTGTCTCGCAAGGTCCGAAAACGCCGCCAGAGCCGCAAATCAAGTTCTCCATAAACAAACAGCCGAGCAACCTTAGACCATCCCTGATAAATCCGCTGTTGGAGGAAGAAGAAGAGGAGGAGGAGGAGGAAGAGGAGGAGGAGGAGGAAGAAGAGATGATGGATGAGCGTGCTGAAGAGGAGCTAGAGATGCGGGCGCAGGAGGAATTGGAGCTGCGTCTCAAGATCGGCCCCAACACACCTCCCGAGCCACCGACATCTCCGCCAACTTCTCCAGACGCTTACGATCCCTTTGACCCCACTAAATCTCGTTCACCAACGCCAGATGCCAGCCAAGAAGCTACGCCAAACGATGAGCGTGACCGTGCGCAGCGTAACTCGCCCAGGAAGCACGACGGAGCTACGGACACTCCGTTGCCGTTAGACGAGCCTAGCCAACAACAAGAACAACCTGCTCAGGAGAAGCCGATAGAGAAGCCAAAGATAATATCGATAGTGACTATCAAGAGACCATCACCTCAGAGAGATGTCTCCGCGTCTCCCGCGCCGGAGAGCCAGACCGACGTCGCCCAATCATGCAGCAGTAGTCCGCCCAAAACCCAGCAGAATCCGCAAAACGTGCAATCGACTGTCAATCCGTTTAGTACTATCAATCCCGTCTTAGCGACGGTAGCGGCCGCAGTGCAGAGAAGCTTCAACGCTAACAGTACGCCCAATCCCGCGCAAAGGACTCTGTTGCAGGTATTCGATTTGTTTTTGCTTTTATTGAAATGTTAATTTTAATTAATTTATTCTAAATATTAAATGACAAAGAAACTTATACCTTTTTTATTATATATATAATAAAAAAGGATCCAATTAAAAAACTCACATCTCTCAGAACGTTGTTATTTGAGTGGAAGAGATGTGGTTATATTAATGAATCAAAATACAGACAATTATACATATAACAGCAATGGAATACTTCCGAGAGCTTATGCACTTCCCAAGATTCACAAACAAAATATTCCTTTCAGAATCATTGTCTCTTCGGTCGGTAGTCCTTTACACTTTTTTTCAACTTTTTTACATAATATAATGTATGAAGCTTTATCTAAAGCCGATAGTTATATAAAAAACAGTTTCCATCTTGTAGATATTCTTAAAGATACTTTTATCGAAGATAACAATAAATTAATTTCTCTAGATGTAGTGTCATTGTTTACTAATATACCGACTGATTTGGCTATGGATTGTATAAATGAATAGTGGATACATATTTCACGTAAATGTGATTTTCCAAAATCAGAAATTCTTAAAGCAATCAGTTTCATTCTAAATTCCACTTTTTTTTACATTTGACAATACGATTTATAAACAGAATTTTGGCACTCCCATGAGCTCTCCATTGTCTCCCATTGTTGCAGATCTGGTAATGCAAAGACTTGAAAGATTTTTCTTAATATTGTTCAGAGATAATGTCCTTTTTTATTATCGTTACGTAGACGATTTAATTGCATCAGTTTCAGTTTCTAAAATAGACGATTTTTTAAATGCATTTAACGCTTTTCACTCACGTTTACAATTTACCTTGGAAGTTGATGACAATTCGTTGGACTTTCTAGATGTTTCTATCATTATAAAAAATAATAAATTAACCTTTGATTGGTTTCACAAGCCTTCCTTTTCAGGGAGATTTATTAACTTTTTTTCATGCCATCTTTATCCCAGAAAAAAGGCATAATTTACAGTTTAGTAGATAGAGCGTTATTATTATCTGAAGTTTCCTATCATGAAAAAAACATAACTTCATTATAAATATTTTAATTAAGAATGATTATCCATTACAATTTATTTTTGATACCATCAACAGTAGAATTAAAGACATTTTTCAAAAAAATTCTCTACATAATAGTAATTCAATTAATGATGAAACATCTACAACTTGTCCATCTTGGTTCACTGTAACTTTTGTTCCAAATTTAACAGAAAAATTTAAACAATTTAATAAAAGTGATACCAAAGTCTCTTATTTCAGTTCTAATAAATTAAGTAAATACATCAAAGTACAAAAAGATCCCTTAGTCACATCTTCCAAGTCCAATGTTGTTTATAAAATAAATTGTAATAATTGCAATGCTTCTTACGTGGGACAGACAGGTAGACAATTGAAGACACGCATTGCTGAACATAAAAATCATATTCGTAGAAATACTAGTTCAAATTCAGTAATAACTGATCATCGTTTACAACAAGGACATGATTTTGATTGGAACAACATTCAAATTCTAGATGAAGAGCCTTGTTATAACAAACGCCTTATCTCGGAAATGCTTAATATTAAAAAACAAAATAACAGTCTTAACCTACAGACAGACACAGAAGGCCTTCATAAATCTTATATACCGATTATAAACAAAGTTTGACTTTGCATCACCAGGATCTTTATTCTATATCATCAGGAGTTTATTTTATTAGGAGTTATATACTTTTGACGTTACACATATCATTATATGTTAAATATTTTATTACTTGTGACATTTTTTACAAACTTATTCAGTTTTTGTGTTACAATTGATTGATCATGGTGAGTTCATTTTCTGAGAGACAGGGATGCTAGTTTATAATACATAAGTATTTATTATAGAATCATGAGATATCGATGCAACCGGTCATTCAATCGCTTGACGAGTATCCAGGTTTCTCAGAACAGTCACTCAATTTTTCTGTTAATTTTATATTTTTTGTACATTTTTTATTAATGCTTAACTAAAACCGTCTCTAGTCTGCTATAATGCTTTATTTCGTATTTAAATTTTGTACATCTAATGATGGCCAAAACCCGTGGCCGAAACATGCGCTTTTTACTATTATAATAATATGATTGGTTATTATTCAACACATTACATGTTTTATTAATGTTTAATTTTTATGTTAATTTTTTTATATAGTTAAGTAAATACATTTGTGTCGATATTTTATATAGATATAGTTTGACTCTTAATTTTATATAGTTTGACCCTTATTAGCCTTTTACCTATTTATTATATTTTTTCAATACTAAGAGTCCTTTATTTATATATTTAATCTAAATATTACGAATTACCAAATCAAATCTTGAGTCTATTTCAATTTAATACTTGCTTTTCTTGCAGCCTAGTCGCATCTCACCGAGTAATCAAATAAAGCAACGCACAAACGACAGACCGCAACTTCCTAACGTATTTGCAAATTCTGCGAAGTCATCTACTTTGCCGCGATCTTCCAAATCCACTCAGAGTAAAAACAGCTCGACGGTAGGGCAGAATGGTAACGACGCGACCATAGATATGACGAACGACAATGTCGTCGACATGTCGTCTCCTTATTCGCCAGGATCAACTCTGAGTGATGGCCTGTTCGATCCACCTAGTCCTGCCAACTTTAATTCGCCCGTGGCGAATGCACCACCGCCTGCCGCTACTAAAATTAGCGGTACACCGAAGATCAACAAAAGTACGGAAAAAAAAGATCCGTTCGATGCGTTATTCGGTGGAATACTGCCTCCAATTAAGACTGCAACCAAAAACAGAATTAAAAAGGTCACTAAAGAGAAGACGAAGAAGTGTACGTACTTTAATTTTTGTTTTTTTTTTTAATCGAGATGATACAGACAGGTCTGAATCTTATTAGTAGTAATTTGTTCATATGAACAATACAAGCTACAAGTTTAAAAGTTTTATCATTAACATTTTTCTTAATAATATTAACGAACAAATATATTTCAATAATTAATATTAATATTAATATTTCAGTAATTATGTAAATGATATATTTTATAGCTACTAATCCTAAAGTTGGTGTACGGATGGATGAAAATCAGCTTCAAATCCTGGACGATCTTCCTAGCTCTGCCGTAGAAATGCAAGTTAAAGACAAGGTATATTAATGACGTTAATGTGATTTGTATTGTAAACAGACGTATATAATTTTTTTAATCTGTTGTGCTGTTAGTTTCTTAAAAAACTAAACCGACAAGAAAGAGTCGTGGAAGAAGTGAAATTAGTTCTCAAACCTCATTATACCAAAAAGCACATCACAAAAGAGGAATACAAAGACATCATGCGCAAAGCAGTACCTAAGGTGAATATTATATAAATTTAGATTTTTTATTAATAAAAGTGATATCGAAAAAACTAAACATAATTCAAATAATATAAAAATACACATAATAAAAATATTCTATAATCTTAATTACAGATATGCCATAATAAGACAGGCGAAATTAATCCTAAAAAGATAGCCCATCTAATAGAAGCGTACGTAAAGAAGTGTCGAAACAACAAAAAGAAAACTTTTGGCAAATTAACAAAACCTACGTAAGTGCAGTTTGAATACAATCGCATTATACAGGTTTATATATATATATATATAATATATCTATATATAATATATGAGAGAAACATTAATTCTATTTGTGTGATATATATTGTATATATATCATAAATAGAATTAATGTTTCTCTCATCTTTTCATGCAACTGTGTTTAATGAAACTTACAGGAAAACTCTATGGAGTTGATTATGTGTTGGCAATCCTAGCGCATTAGAAAGTTCTTCAACGTTAGGCCTCTCCTTAGACCACGCGTAAAACATTCTCTCTTCTAGATGGTAAGTGAATTAGAAATGTGCATATACATATCATAGATATGTATTATGCATATATCTGTATTATGTATATGTATACGTCTATGCATATACATCTATCAATGAGCGAAACGTATTGTGTGTACATACTTAATTCATTAATTGTATAAGCGTAATATTTTTATTTATCTAATTGTTTAAATACGAAAAAATTCGTGATTACTACTATTATTCACAAATATTGACATATAGGTACGTTCACGCATATTTGCAAAGGCACTCTACGATGTACGGCTTCTGTCCGAATATACGGCTGTGCATGTTGCAATGCCTTTTAAAATTCGGTTCGGATTACGATCAACGATCCTCCGCTAAACTAATTAGAAAATATATTGTACGATAAGATTATAATTTAGAGCGTAACTGCGCAATTTAAAAAAATGAAATAAATAAAAAAAAACGCTCAAGTAATTCGAATCGCTATTTACGAAAGAAGAAACGAATGGCCAGGTGTATTTATCCAACAACTTGCAGTGTAAAAATTAATAGATCCTTAAATTCTTAAATCTTTATATAAGCAAAAAATGGCCTGCTGAGATCTTTTCCTATGAGTATATTTTCAAGAGTACAAGATATGTGCGACACCTTGTTTCACTTTATTCATATTATGTAAACAGAAGATAAAACATAAACACAAGTAAAACACATTTCCGATTAGCGACTTCAAATGTAGATAAATCATGTATAAAAATGTCGGATGTTGTCCCTGTATGTAAAATTTATGTAAGTTGCGTTTTATTATGCTTATAATTCTGTACGCCTGATATGTAAAAGAGATTTTTAGGACGTCAATTTATAACAGTCTGTTCCGCTTTTCAGAAAAAAAGGAACACTGTCTTATAGACACTGTAACCCGTATTCATGTCTCGTCTTTAGCAGTAAATGCGGCTCACATGTTATAATTTACATTACGCCTCCGTTATTTATATGTATATACATACATATATGATCGCATTACATATATATAATCTTTATAACTTACTTGATATGATATTAATAAGAATTAGATGAGCTCGTTGAGAATAAGCGAGACGTGAACTTACGTATGTTACTTGTAGGAAGACAGGAGGACGATCGTTACGGCGTTTTTTTTTTTATTTTTTTTTCCTGGATAGGTACTCAATGTTCCAAAGTGCAGAATGTATAACGTATTGAAACAGTAGTGTATAATCAATTTACGCAATGTAATAAAACGTTAGGGCATATCCACACAATTTTCATAGCCACATAACATATGCATAAAGAAAATTATTCAATCACATTTTACATGCGTCTTTATAAAAGAAATATAATTGGACAATTTTCTCTATATATCTGCATACGTTTATATAGCTATATATAAGTTTGTGTGGATACACTCTTAGTGAGTCTGTAATAAAGTAACATAATGGAAAAAAACTTTTACATACCTTCATAAGATACAATCGTGTTCGTTTTAAACGTCAGCACATAGGTATTTTTTCAATCGATAAAAATAAATTAATTAATCCTGAAATAATGTCTCGTTAATAACTTAGTATTTCTAATAAGCACATCGTGAAAATCCTAATTTCGGCAAGTATCATTACGTAAAATACACGTACGTATTATCCGCAATTAATAAAATGCATATTGTATTAGCTGCCATATAAAATTCTGTTGTACATTTTACGACCGGATTGTACGCTCATATGCAAATACACTACGTGTGAATAGATTTTATACTTTTTACGCAAAACAGCGAAAATTACATTCTCTTTGGAACGTACACAGGTACTTACAAATATATTATATCAAAAATGTACGACATTGGCTGAAGTGAATTTAAGCGAAACATGTGTGACGATCCGTATCATAGAAGATATCATCATGATGATTCGTCAGTGATCACATCGATATTAATAACAATGATTATGGCAATGATCATTGCATCAATAAAATGATGTTAAATCCATCGTTAATTAAACTGTCGTTAATTCTTGTGTGTATGAACTCTCTTTTGTACTAAATAGCAATGTACATAAACGAATGGAGAATAAAGAGTTTAATATTATTGAACTTGCTCATTCAACACTTTATGAAATTGATATGCACTTGTAGATTATCATTATTAAATATCAATTAATATAATAATGCCTATCTTTTTTCTGAACTAAGCGCTTCTATTATTAAACAAATATTGCATTTTCTAAGAAATTTATAATTTGAAGACTAAATAAGAAAGCTGAAATATATTATAAATTTAATAATTCATACATCTGTATTACTTTTATATGTGTAATTTATATATAATATATAAATTATTTATTATTAATTAACTGATTTTGTATGAACTACATATATATATATATATAATTTAATATAATATATATATTTTTTATATAAGTTTTTAAATATATATATATTTTTATATAAGTTTTATTACATATATATTAGAGATTGCCTATTTCTGTATTTTGTATAATTACATATCTTTGTATATACACACAAAGAAAATATAATTTTAGAAGCGAATATAAAACACCGAAAAAACGTAACGAAAAAAAAAATTAGTAGATACATTCGCTATGCTGTGCCAAATATCGGTAGCGGGTAAAAATCATAGAATGTAGTGTTTGAGTCAGTTTGAACATGATAAACATAAAATAAGATGAAGAGGAACCGGTTGGTTGCATGTTCGTCGTGACACGTGCGTTTGTACGTACGGAAATAAAATTAACGCATGTAAGCGCTATGTTAAATATATTGGCACATCGTACGATAAATCTTCTTGGTCGTGATATTATTACCGTAAGTAGAATGATCGTCTTCTTAGAGGAATGGAATTTAAAAGTTAGGTTATGTTAGATAACATCTTCGGCGCCGAGTTATGCCCATTTCCACTAACTAGATTAACTTTATCTCGATTTAACTTTTAGTGTTTATCATTTTTTAATCGCAAGAATAAAAAAAAAGTTAAAGAGAAAATTGAACTGAGGTTATTTAATTCTACGGTGAAACTAGGTATTAGAGCACTTTTCCGGCGAGCGAATATAGGAAAATGACACAGGCGGAACGTAATAAATAGGTAACAGCTGTTTTTGTTGCCGTGCAGGTGAGGAAGTACTGGATAACGAGAAGAATACACGAGAGAGCTTGGAGGAAGACCAGGATGGGTGACGAGCCACCACTGTCAAGGGTCGACCCTGTTGTCACAAAGCTGGACAGTCCGGAGTTTCTCTCCGTCTTCACCCCGGAATTACAGAAACTCGCAAGCCTGTTCAAGAAATATAATTACGAGCTGAGGATCGCCGGTGGTGCGGTGCGCGACATCCTGATGGGCAAGCAGCCCAAAGATCTGGACTTTGCGACCGATGCTACGCCACAGCAGATGAAGGATATGTTCACAAGCGAGGAGATTAGAATGATAAACGAGAAGGGTGAGAAGCATGGAACGATCACAGCGAGGATAAACGATTCGGAGAACTTTGAAATCACTACTCTGAGAATTGACATTCTGACCGATGGACGGCATGCACAGGTGGAATTCACAAAAGACTGGAAGCTGGACGCTAACAGGAGGGATTTGACCATCAATTCCATGTTCCTCGACCTCGATGGCAAAGTATATGATTATTTCTATGGTTACGATGACCTAAAGAAGAAGAGGATAGTTTTTGTAGGCAAAGCTAGTGTTAGGATTCAAGAAGATTATCTTAGAATCTTAAGGTAGAATTTATCACAATTAATATATATATTCTGAACGTTATTCTGAATCTTATATGTAACAATAGTTACATCGAATCTTTGATTATATAAGATTTGCATTGTTTGATTACTTTGCCAGGTACTTTCGTTTCTATGGAAGAATAATGGACAGCCCAGATCAGCATGACGAGGCTACAATAACAGCGTTAAAAGAAAACATCAGTGGTCTGGAACAAATATCTGGTGAGAGGATCTGGAGCGAATGGAACAAAATTCTAAGCGGCACTTTTGCCCTGGAATTGACCCTAAAGTTGCTTGAATGTGGTAGCAGCAGATACATTGGTCTACCCAAAGAGCCCAACGTGGAAAACTTCCGAAAAGTTTATGAGCGCGCGCGGTCCAATAATGTAACTTTGAAGCCTATATCTTTGATTATATCGATGCTGAAGGATGAATACGAAGTGATAAAATTACACGAGAGATTGAAACTGTCTAATTCCGACAGAGATTTAGCGATCTTCCTGATTCAACATAGGGAATGCAAGCCCTGCGAGAAACCATTGAGATCTTATCAGCGGCTAGTCCTTCTTCAACAGATAAAGAGATACGACATTCTCCTAGAAGATGTGAAGGAGTTATTGAGATACCGTGGTGCAATACAACTTCTGGATGAATTTGAACAATGGGTAATTCCGAAATTTCCTATCAATGGTAGCATGTTGATAAAACATGTGCCAATGAACAAGATGATAGGCAACGTCCTAATTGAACTGAAGAGGATATGGATCGATGCGGATTTTAAATTAACTGACGAACAGCTTATGGAACATGTACCAAGTATAGTCAGTGAATTAGAAGAACAATACAAAATATTAGGTAAAGAGAAGAACAAAAAATTTAAAAAAATGAAATAAATATTTTCGAAATATTGTGGTAATTTTGTGTATTTGCTACAAACATTCGTTATTTTGTTAATAGAAATTTAGTAGGTTGTATGTAATTATTTTTTGTAGGTTAAGCAGGCTAAGTATTAGTTATTTATTATTACTAATTATTTTATGAAAAAGATAAAGAACTTTTTGTATAATTTTTGATAAACTATTTTTAGTGGAATTAATAAAATACTGTACCTATATAGAAAGATGTGAAGGTGTTTAATTGAAGGATATCAGTATGTCAAACATGAATTTAATTATATTATTAATTATATCAGTTATGAATATATCTTCTTACAAAATACGAAAAAAAACGTATTTTATGTTAGATACTCAAAGATTTAAATCTCACATTTTTTTTCTGCAAATATAAACTCTACAAAACGTGTTATTATAATGATAATTTTATCTTATTTATAAATCACTGTTTTATCATCAAAAAATACAAATCTTCAAGAGATCTTTACATTTCTGATGATAAAATAATGATTAAGGAGTTAGGTATTTTCCTATTTTTAATTGCAAAATCACTATAGACATTTTCATGCACACAATCATACATTTGCGTTTCAATTTCTAATTGCCATAATCGTCGCTTCATTAATTTAGCCTTGGATCTGGCTATTCATGTACCGCGCATGAATGTATTTAAATCAATAAAAATAGGTAGTATGTATAGTGATAATAGTATTGTTCGTTTTGTCTCTCGGGAGCTGCTCGGAGTCGTTCCGAACGAACCCAGCATACTTGGATACAATTCATTTAATGCTGCAAATGCTTCGTTGATCAATCAGAAGAAAGAATTTTACGTATTGATCAATCAAAGAATGTTTCGAGGTATTTACAACATTAAATAAATCACATCCAAGTACACTGGGTTCGTTCAGAGCAACTCCGAGCAGCTCCCAAGAGACAAAACGAACAATACCAATGTCAGCCATTAGCGTTTTTCAAGTATCACCAGGTACCGGGTCCTATGGGGTGTCTGCTATAAGTATATCGGTCTTTAGTGACATCAGGTTTTATGACGTCTGTATTAAGGACAGTCACAAATATAAAAATCAACTATAGATAATACTAGCCTCTGAATGTTTCGATCTGTTTATGAATACCGACCTTTGTTTTGAGAACTTGACTTCGGTCTGAGTAAAATTTTTTATTTAATTACATTTATATCTATAATTTTCAGGCTAAATTAAAAACTAATCGTTTGATTATTGTTGTACTAGTTTACATTCGAATGTTGACATTAAGGTCAATTCTTCGGCGTTGGATTCGGAATCTTCTCGTCGCGAATTCGTTGTAATGTTAATCAGATTTTCAGAATTTAGATTGGATAAAGCATCGTCTGAAAAAAAAACAACGTCCGTTAGATAACATTTTAATTATCTAATTATTTTAATTATCATTTTATAATACTCTCTCTACTGCAGCTTATAATTATGTAATATCAATGTTTCTATAATACGTACCGTAAAGAACGTTTGCGATGTCCTCTTCTTTTTCGATCAAACGAATATATTTGTCGTCGGCGAAAACATCGAAATTTTTCACGATATCAGAATTAAGATCTAACAACCAAAATTGGTTTTTTTTGTGGTTTAATCTTTTCGATAACGTTTCAATAGCCTGTGGTAAAAATGATAGTTTGAAAATATAATTTATAAATAAAAATATTCAATAAAAACAAATCATTTATCAATTTCATTTGATACATATTATATCCGATATACCTTGATTGAAGTGTAATCGAGACTAGTGAATGTCTTGCAGTTTATTATCAAAGGGACATTGTTTGTAGCTAAATTTATAACTTTATCACAAAAAGAAGTTGCTGAGGGATAATGGAAACATGTGTTGAATTTTAGCATTATGTATTTGTTTCCTAGATGAGTCTAAAAAGGAATAAATGCAAATAATACTATGTATTATATAATATTGTATATATATGTATTATATATACACACATATGCAGGGAATGGAAGTAACTCGTTACTTGTAACGAAGTTACAGTTACAAGTTACTTTTTTGGTAACTTTACTGGTAACTGCGTTACTTTTTTTTTTTTGGTAACTGTAACGGTAACGAGTTACATTTTTTGGGTAACGGTAACGAAATTTACAGTTACTTTTGTCGTTACTTTGCACACGATTGAACACGGTTCGATTGGATACATGCTATTTATAGCGCTTATCAATAAGACTTGAAAGCCCTTAGACATTCGGCCGTTATGATTCAGTAATTATTTTACACTTCTATCTTCTATGTAATACATAGGACATACAAATATTTCAGTTTGCTGCATATTTTACAGGTTTTAGAATTACAAAATTGTGTTTAAAAAAAATTAAAAAATAAATTAAATAATAGTAAAATGAGAAGGGCTACGAACTCAAAAGCGAAACAGTTTAAAAGACGATGACAATAAGTGTCGAAATGTCGTTTGTTTTTATCTTGTTTTATCCATGTTATTGTTCTAATATATATTTATACATTTAATTACATTGTCATCGTCGTTCTTATCGGAAATAAACTGTTTCATTTTTGGCTCGTAACCCTTCTCATTTTACTTTTATTTAATTTATTACTTGAGCCATTCTACATTGTTTTTTTTTTTAATAAAACTATATATTTGTCAGTATTACATATAATAAAAAAAAAAAACGCAAAAGTACATTTTTAAATCGATTTTAAAAAAGTAACGGAAAAGTAACGAAAAGTTATTTTTCAAGTAACGGTAACTGTAACGAGTTACTTTTAAAAAGCGATAACTGTAACTGTAACTAGTTACATTTTTTACTCGGTAACGAGTAACTGTAACTAGTTACTTTTAAAAAGTAACTTTCCATTCCCTACATATGTATAATACATATATAAATTATTATATGTATATACAGGATGTTTCTGAAAAGGCGGACACTAATTATATAGCGCTAATCCTGATCTAAAATTGAGTCGAAATTTCCTGAATCATTTTTTGGTACAAAATGCTGTATGAAACAGTTATTATCGACTAAAGAGAGAGTTAATCGAATAGGCGTCGTCTTTTAAACGAACGCACGCAAAAATTTGTTTTGCATTAAAAATCATATTTCTTTTGTCAGAAGCATTTTCTTACAGCAAAATTTTAACAAGGGATACGAGAACTCAAAACGTAGCAAATTATAGATTATATTTAAGACAAAAAGATTACATTTTTTATATAATCTATAATTTACTACGTTTTAACGAGAGTTCTCGTGTCTCTTGTTGAAATTTTGCTGAAGGAAAATGCTTCTGATAGAAGAAATATGATTTTTAATGCAAAACAAATTTTTTGCATTATTATGATGTGTGAGAATATTGCGCGATAACGGCGAAGTCAACGGTATAGCGGCGTGGCGGAGCGCTCACGCACACTATATTAGACGCGCGGTTCATGGACATGCATCTGTTTAAAAGCCTATTCATTTATCGTACAAAAATAATCCCTCAGGAAATTTCGACTCAATTTTAGATCCGGATTAGCGCTATATAATTAGTATCTGCTTTTTCAGAAACACCCTGTATATATAAATATATAATATATATTTTTAATTATATATGTGAAATTAAAAAAATATATACATAAATACATATATTAATCATATATATTTATATATATACATATATAAAATATAGTACATATGTATATAAAATGACAGCATTCACCTTGCAGTTGTTTGTTTGAAATGTTAATTTTGTGAAGAATCGGATGAAAATAATCAAGTTGAAAAGAACACCGAGAAGAAGCCCGATCTCGATGCCGATAAGAATGGAGATCACAAAAGTGCCTGTCGCCGCGATCGCATCCGTTTCTGTAAAAAAGGAAGTAATATTACATAAATTTGTTGTTTCATCTTTCTCGTCTAATCTGTGTACACATGTAAAAATGTATTACTGACTACTGTTTCCTTTCCAAAATACTTTTATGATCTTCAGGTCGATCATGGGTAACACAGCACTTATCAGCACTGCTGATAACGTTGCGCGTGGAATGTAATAAAAATACGGCGTCAAAAAGCTTAACGCTAGCAATGCCATAGTACCTGCGAAATGCAAAGTCACTTACTTTTTTTAATACATTTTTTTGCGCACTTCGTGTCATACATTACTATATGTACGCTATATTGCTCTGCTATCGTATCAAGATTAAAATCGTGACTTTCACCAATTATGCACGAGATTTTAATAAGACTATTAGATAATAAGAAAAAAATATAATAGTAATTTAAATTAAATCATTTTTGCCAAATTTCTATTCATGCAACGTTACTTCATCTCATATCCCTTGCATACAAATTGAATGAATTAAGGTAAATTTGAACTAATGTCCTTATAAGGTTTCTATACAGATGTTACCAGAATATAGACCGGCCATAGACGTTTGCACTCCACTGGCACTGCCAACTCCGCTTCGAGTAAATGCACCGGAAGTTGGAAGCGATGACACGAAACTGCCTAATATGTTACAAAGACCGAGAGCTAGCATTTCCTGTGTCGCGTTAATGGAGGAGTCCATCGCTATAAAATCATTTAGTTGTTATGTATGTCTTATATATTTATTTACTTTACTTAGCAAAATATCTAATTCAAAATATTTTAATTTGTAGAGGATTGTAAGAAAAAAAAGTTATCTAAAATATCTATTATTTTATCCTAACTCATTTTTACTTTTCTTCATAACAGAATTATGTAAAAAATTGTACGGTGGTAAATTTTCATAACTGGAATATTTATATCATATATTGTTCATAAAATGTAATAAGATTTTGTTAAAAATAATAACATTACATTACGAATGAATTTAATTTAATTTTGTAATTCTATAAGGGATCATAATTACTTGCAGTCTAACTCAAAATTGAAATTATATAGAAAGAATTGAAAGAAATATAGAAATCGATACCAAACGCTTTGGCTATTGCTACATTCACCGAGACGGCTATGATAGGAAGTATTCCTAGCCCTAATCCGTAATGAGTACACATGTCCAAAAACGTGTAAGTTTGATTTCCTACTTGCGATGAGAATGGCGGTAATGATAATTTGGGAATGCCGGCTTCAATTTTTCCTGCAAAATTTAAAATACATTGATGCTACAATATGAAAGTATGATAGATAAACATATTACGTAGTATATTTCTAAATAAAATTAGTGTAATATTAATTAATAATAGAATAATAGCTTTGAAGGTCATTATATATTATTAGATTTTAATAACGCGTCGATCAAAAATTTATGTCAATGTATACTTATAAGTATATTAGAAACTTCTAAATTCAATAGAAACAATGTAATAGGAGAGATGATAATATAGTAAAACGCGAGCTAAAAATTTTACAACGATGATTACTGCACATATAAATTATTCAGTTTATGGTATAGTTTTTATTTTCAAAAATCATTATGTTGTTTATTTAATAAATTGACTCAATACTGTAATTACAAATGAAATCTATATATACCTGAAAGACTAAACGGAATAGCTCCTGTATTCGCTTCAAATTGGTACGCTATCGTGGATGTTATAAGCACAATGAGAGCGTTTCTACCAATGGAGAAATACCAAAGAATCTTTTTTATCATTGCCTTTTTCGAAGCATCCTTCTTGTTTCTCATGCAAGGATAATTAATATCTTTCAGTTTCTAGAGATTGAATTTATATAACTCTTCTACGATTGTTGTAAATAATAATCAGTTTATAATTCTGGCACTCACTTTCAAGATCAGAAGAAATACAAAGCTGAAAACCCCGAGTGCGAAATCAGGCAGTTGAACCTCATTGATATTTTTAAACATTTTGTACATATTGTCTACAATACTTTCTGACTTATACTTCAATCCCAGAAAGCCCTGCAGCTGAGCGATTGCTATAATGAGCGCTCCTGCTGACATAAAACCCGACATGACTGGGTCTGATATGAAATCCACCAAGAATCCTACAGAAAAAAATCGTGTCGATCGAAACTTATGTCAGTACTTAGAAACAACGTAATAGAAGAGATGATAATAGTAAAACGTGAGTTAAGTGAAATTTAGTTGATTAAATAGTCTTGGAATACAAGCCTAGATTTAGTACGCCCATTAAAAATTCAACGCATCCAGTCAGAAAACATAATAATATTACGAAATCCTGCGGCATATTTCGCGTGTACTGCAACGTAAGAAGGGACATCAAAGATGATGGACCAATCGAGACCTCTTTGGTGGTCCCAAGAATAATGTATAAGAAACCGCCCACAAAGCAAGAGTACAGACCATACTGTAACCATTATATATACTTAGCATGGAATATTTTGAAGGACATAGAGAGACATATCATATCAGTAATCAGTGTAATTATACAATTACTATATATAGACTATATTCCCTCGTAAAAAAGTACTACTAGTGTCACTATTAGTGCAATATGCAGAAGTAAATTCGCAAAAAACAAAATAAGATATAAAAAAATTTTGATTAAAAATACGAAATGATTAAAATAATTGATTAAAACCGATTTTTTAATTCAAATTTGTATTAAAATAATTTCCGCAAGTGCGGGAATGCGATTACTGTAGATTGCACTACTCCCAGTAGTGATACTATTAGTGCCACTATATAGTAGTAAATTTATTACTGCACTTCTATACTACTAGTCACGAGCAATGTTACTACTGATTACTACTCGTACCAACAGTGACACTAGTAGTACTTTTTTACGAGGGTTTAGTCTATATATACTATTATTGTTATATATCAAATACAGCAATAATAAAAGAGCGTAAAAAAATCTATTATAAGAAAATAAATTTGAGAGTGCATTTTTTCGGAGCACAAAAATCAAATTTTAATTTAAAGGAATACATATAAATATTAATCTCTTATAGTCATTAAAAGTAATTTTAGTTAAAACGAATAAGGGAAACAGCGAATGGAACTGTAATACCTGTGGAATTCGTTCAGCCAGCATTGCATAAGCCATACTTTGAGGGATTACAGTCAAACCCAGAGTGATGCCTGCGATTAGGTCTGACGCGGCTTTAAATCGAGTATATTGTGGTAACCAGCCGAATACCGGCAGATACTTTGTCACCATAATCAAACGTGACTTCTGTTCTGAAATCGAAATCGGCGGGCACTCCTCGTCGGACATCCTCCTTGCATCAATGAACGAAAACAAGAAACTAACTCCTGATTTCTGCGCTACCGCGGCTTTCCAGGTAAAAAAAAGATGTCTTTTGAATTTCTAAGAAAAATATCTTTCTCGGTATCTTGCATTTTTATTTTAAAGTGTGTTATATAAGCCCATTCTATGATAGTATTTTGTGATAATTGTAAGTGGTAAAATGTAATAATAATTGATCAATTATTTATGATGATAACTATTTATAAATATTTATTATGCTTATACAATTGTAGAATCAACTTCAGAGATGTGAAAGATATCTTACGCAACAAAATATCTTAGATTGGGGATAAAGCCTTTTTACATATACATATATAGATATATATAAAAAGACCTTTATAGTTTACAATATCTTATTATTAAAAATAAACGAAATTTAAATTAAAAGAAAAGGGTTTTAAAGCTTGAAATTTTTACTTACACACACACACACACACACACACACACACACACACACACACAAAGGATTACTATATTTTTTGAATTTCTATGAGTTTGGTAATTTTTATATAAAATTATGAGTTGAAAAAATTGAAATATTTTTTTCACTTTGTAGGTCTTCTACGTCCAAAAAAAATTTGCAAAACTTTTCGACTATCTTGAAGCTTTCCCTATAAAATCGTTTTTTAAAAATGTTGCTATGATTTTTTATTTTTCAGTTATTCGCGAGTTAAACCACAGATGAGTTAAACAAAAGAGCGCGCGCGCACACACATTCTGATTTTGATTGCTCATAACTTCGTTAAAAATCATTATATCCGCAATTAAAAATACAGATTCTTAAAGCTGAAACTTTGCTCTATCGAATTATACATATAATTGCAACGAAAATATATGTATTATATGTAAAAGGACTTTTTCTTCAACCCAATATTTTGCATTTTTTACGATAAGATATCTTACAGAAACACATTCTAAAATTATCCAAGTTACTGACAAGGTATATTGATGTCAAAAGCGACTATGTTTTATGGAAATTAAAGTGACTAATGTCCAATTTCTTTACTTCTAAATAAGTTATGGATAACTGTATCCAAGAGATATCTCCATTGTATTCTGGGAAGTATCTTTTAGATATAAAGGTTATCTAGAGGTGAAGAAATTGAGAACATATAAAAGTAAAAAATAATATATATATGATAGAGTACTAATTTTACGATTTATTAGTTTTGTAAACATTGTACATATATATATGTATATATATATATAAAAGAAAAAAAACAGGTTTAACAGGTTAAATTATCAAACAGGTTAAGACAAAGGATCCATGGATTCGAAGAAATAAGGAGGAATCCAATTGTTTTTCAAAGAGTTTGGAATTTCTTTGATAAAAGAATATGCTAAAGGTGGTTATTTTGAACATTACATTTAATTTGTTACATTTCATTTAATTCTATTTATCTAAAAATAACCATATTTACAAATACAAAAGTAAAAATGACCTTTTTGTTTCAACGTTGAATAACTCGGTAAAAAAAAAATCGTACAAAAGGTCGATAAAAAAGCAAATTAAAGGTGAAGATTCATTCTTTTGAAAGTTGTAAACTGCATTTGTGCACAATTTTTAGTTCGTGCGATGGAACTTTTCAAACTTTGTAAAAAATTTTTAGGTTTGACGCACTTTTATTTATGTTGTGTAACAAACGAGATATTATAGTAAGACCGTTTTTTACTCAATAATGAGTAACTGTAACTTGTTACTTTTAAAATATAAAAATTATATTTTTTAAATATTTTTTTTTATGTTTTTGTAATTTTATAATTCTACAATTTTTGAACATTTGTTTACAACTTGCGATCTTTTTGTAACATTGATAATAACCTAATAGAGGTCGAAACATCTGTTATCTATTTCTTGTTTTTTTCTAATTAAACTAGGTAATTTTAACCAAATGACAATTTTTATTTACAAACAATTGTATATTTTAACGAATTTTTTTATTTAATATTTATATAATAAAAATCGTGAATTATTAGTGTCAACAATCGCAAATTTATATCAATTGTTGATAATGTCATCGTTCTTTAATTATAACTGGAATCCCATTGATAGTCATCAAAATTTCAGGCCGTATTTGATAATATCATTTCGTCGGTACCTTATAATAAGTGTATTATAGTTGTAATGGTATGCTGTAATTGTAAGAATTAATCATTTAATTCTTATAATTACAACTTACATTTACAAATATTACGCTTTTGCAATTGTAGAATGAGTTTTAGAAATTTAAAAGATGTATTTTTACAAGAATTTGAGATATCTTTTAGATATTTGGAGCTGAGATCTTAAAATCACAATATTTGCCAGATTTGACAATTCTATTAGATTTTGTGCATTTCTAATTACATTAGTAATATATATTTAATATTTGGTACAGAAAAGACAGCAAATTTCAATATCTGATGTACAATTGTCAATTTCTGATACAAAAATATTAGAAAAATTTAATAATGTTTGATCTAAATACAAAATTAAAGCAGCCAATCACAGAAAATATTATCATACATGTTGTCTATTTGACTCTATCTGAATTATTCCATCAAATGATTGATTAGAAATTTTAACGGTTCTATATATCATTAATATTTATGTAAAGAACAGAAAGAAAATTATATATTTTTATTATACATATATCTATATATATACATATATATTATATATATATATAAGCATAATTAATTATAAATAGAAGTTTAGATATGAATTATTGATACACTTTGACTCAATCTAATATAAGTATTTTTTTATCATTTATTTACAAAATATTTTTGCAGCACTAAACTTAAAGATATTTTGGAGATATCTTATAGAAATTTAACAGATTTCAACTATAGGGCACTTATAAGATCTACAAATATCTTTGAGAGAGATATCGTGAAAATATCTTTTAGAGAGAATATATATCCTGAAAATATTTTTTAGATATCTTTTGAAGATATCTTTAAAGATATCTTAAAGAAAAACCCATATTTTGGAAAAATAAATAATAAAATAGCATTACAATGTTAAATTCATTAATGTGCAATCGGAAATGATATGGATTACAAGAAGATTACGGGGAAGAGAATTGGATGAAGAAAGGCAGATTATTTTCTATCTTCATGTATTTAAGCTTACCAATTAATGTACAAAGTGCACGGCCGTTCGCGATCTATCACCGCGGCCCAATTATATGTTAAGCCATCCTGCGATTTATGACCTATCTCGATGCGTGTAATTTGCGACGAAATAGAAATAATGGCGATATGCAACGAGTTACAATTGCAAAAGTTAATCAGAACGTGAGCGAAGCAAACTTCTATCGCAAGACCGAATGTTATGGTATCGGAAAGAATTCCCGTTCGTGTCTCACAAAAAACTTCTATTGAATGCGACGGGTGGATCTATGCAACGCTCGCTTTTGCTACTCCGACCTTCAAGAAGATTCGTGACGGTTATGATTATATCTTTGTGCTTCATAATGTAATGTGAAATAATAATAGTGAATTTTCTAGCAAGTCGGAAGTCAATTTGATGGTTTCGGCGTTAATAAATGTTCTTGCTTTGAATCTCACAGTGAACAGCTATAGTAAAGCGTTTGGTTTGCGCTACAAGCAGCAACTTTTAATTAGCGATCGTAACATTGTCATGCTATGTTTCTTTGATAGAGAAAGGAATCTTTTCACTTTAAATGCATATTTGATCTATATACTCGAGTCTGTGTTGCAAAACGAAACAAAATCGTTGTCATGTATATCAGATAAAATCCGTTATAAGAGATTTTTATCTTTACATTACGGACAACGTATCTAAATGACTTATTTGAAAACTTAATTTCAAAGTAATCCTCTCAATCAAAGTAATTCTGCTCTGGTTCCGTAAAAGCGTATATATAGCACATAATGTGTCATTTCTTTCCTAATTATTGAACGTTAAACAAAGCTAAAGTGGCACATCATGTGTATCATGCATTAATTTTACGGAACGCAGCGTCCAGTTAAATTTATATTTAGAATCAACAGATTATTATTAAATTAAAAAAAGAGCCGTTTGATTATTGTTGTATTTTGCATTAGGATGATGATATTAAGGTCAATTCTTCGGCATTAGATTCGGAATCCTTTTGTTGCGAATTCGAATACAAAAGACATTCTTCGTGATTTATTTCCGTTACTTTTTTCGTAATAATATTAATCCGATCTTCAGAATTTTTACTAGATAAAGTATCATCTGAAAAAAGAAAACGTTTATTAGATTACATCCCACATTTTGTGATAATTACTACTATAATAACTCTTAATTATCGCAATATCAAATAATTTTCGTATATGTATACGTATAATAATACATACTGTAAAGAATATCTGCGATGCTCTCTTCGTTCTCGATCAGACGAATGTATTTGTTGTCAGTGAGAATGTCAAAACTTTTCATGGTGTCGGAATTAAGATGCAATAGCCAGAATTGATTTCTTTCGCTGTTCAATGTTTTCGATAACATTTCAATACCCTGTCATAAAAAATTATAAATAGTTCGAACATATAGTAATATATCTATGAATTAATAAAAATAAATCATTTGTCGACTTCATTTGGCGAATGTTATCCGATACCTTGATTGAAGTATAATCGAGATTGTTGAATGTTTCGCAATTCATGATCAACGGAACGTCGTTTTCAGCTAAACTCATGACTTTTTCGCAGAAGGAAGCTACTGCAGGATAATAGAGACAGTTTTTGGATTTTAACATCATATATCTGTTTCCTAGACGAGTCTAAAAAAGAATAAATAATTTTAATAGTCTCATTCATGTACACACTCAATTGCTATGTAAACATGATATACACATACATATATATATATATTATATATATTATTGTAATAATATTCATTATTACAACAATAAAGCATTTGCAACTTAATAGAAACATATTTTTTATCTAAAAATACGCTAAGACAAAATGTTGTGACAGCATTTACTTTGCAGTTGACTATTTGAAGCGTCAGTCTCGCGGATAATCGAATAAAAAGGATCAAGTTGAAAAGGACACCAAGAAGGAGTCCAATCTCAATTCCAATAAAAACAGAGATCACAAAAGTTCCTATTGCCGCGATTGCATCCATTTCTGCAAGAAAAGAAGTATATCATGTGTAAGTATATTGCTTTATTTTCCCCGTCTAATCTAAAACATACGTGAAAACGTAATATACTGACTGTTTCCTTTCCAGAGTAATTTTATGATTTTCAAATCGATCATGAACAACACGGCGGATATCAGCACAGCGGCCAGTGTCGCTCGTGGAATGTAATAAAAATATGGTGTTAAAAAGCTCAATGCTAGCAATGTCATAGTACCTGCGAAGTACAATATCATCTGTTATTTGTTTATTACATCTTTGTTCTACGCTTTGCTACACATGTATCTCATAGATTATACAATACTTCGTTGTCATGCTGCGTATTATACGCACACTAGCGCCAAGATTAAAATCATTAATTTCTCTAATTATACATAAAATATTAAGAGCGTTAAATAATAATAGATAATGATAAAATAATATTTAACAAGAAATAATTAAGAATTGCCTAGATGAACTAAAATAATAAAAAGAGCTATGAGCCAAAGCTAGTTGTTAAATGCTAATATATGTTTAATAAAGCCATATACTATACATATCAAATATAATCAAATATACGTTTCGATCTTATAATAATTTTTGGCGGGCTTCTATATTCAACTTCATCTCGTATTTCTTGTTCATGAACAGAATTAGACATTCACAAGTTAAATTGTTATTTAATTTTCTAGTACCGGAATATAGACCAGCCATAGGTGTTTGCACTCCGCTGGCACTGCTGACTGCACTTCGGGTAAATGCACCAGTGGTTGGAAGCGATGACACAAAGCTGCCTACCATGTTGCAGAGACCGAGAGCCAGCATTTCCTGTGTTGCGTTAATGGAGGTGCCCAACGCTATGAGATCAATTAATTGTTACGAAATCTTATTTACTCGCTTAGTAAAATATTCAATCCAAAGTATCCTAATTCGTATAGAGGAAAATAATATCTAAGATATGTCTAACATTTTACAATTGAACAATTGATTCTTCTTCATTTTACACGACAAATCGTAAGGAAATAAATTTTCGAAATGAAGACATATATTACATGTTTGACAGTAAAATACTAACTCACAATAATTGTTATAATTTTGTACTTAATAATATACTTTAATATAAGATATAATTAAATCATGTATAAATAAGATATAAATAAAGTTGTATGACATATGTATAACAGTTATATGTAACACGTAACAGTATATTGAGTAGGAAATTGTAACTATACGGTTGTATGTGTATGCTACTGTTAGTTAATGACGTTTGTTCGACAAATCTAATAAAATCAAATTTTATTAAATATAATAAAATGATTTTATTAAGTTTTATTTTATTTTGTAGAAGTCAATCTGACTCGAGATTGAAAAATTATTGAAAGAATTATGAAAATTAACCAAATGCTTTCGCTATCGCTACGTTTGCCAAGACGGATATAACAGGAAGTATCCCTAGTCCTAATCCGTAGTGAGCGCACATGTCGAAAAACGTGTAAGTCTGATTTCCCACTTGCGATGAGAAGGGCGGTAACGATACTTTGGGAAGGCCGGCTTCAATTTTTCCTACAAGATAAAGATGTTGACATACCGTAATGCTCCATGATTATAGTACACTTCTAAATGGAATATTTATTTAATGTAAAATTGATTAATATAAGAGAATAATGGCTTTAAAAGTCGTTCTAAATTATCAGATTTCAATAATTTTATAATGACTGTACTGAATGGATCAATTTTTACTTCAGTTTATATTATATATCATATCATATATAGCTATATCATTAAAAAAAATATCATATAGCTATATCATTAAAAAAAAAATCGTTGTATCGTTTATTTAATTGACTTAATGAATTGACTTAGGCCTGATTGCACCAACGTGATTTCGATTTTAAGCGAAACTTAAACTGTCTCTGTCTCTGTCTCCCTTTCGGCTTTAAAACGAGATAGATACAGTTTTAAGTCTCGCTTAAAATCAAAAAGTGTTGGTGCAACCGGGCCTTAATGATATAATTCCAAATAAAGTCTATACCTGAAAGCCAAAACGGAATAGTTCCTGTATACGCTTCAAATTGGTACGCTATCGTGGATGATATAAGCACAATGAGAGCGTTCCTACCAATGGAAAAGTACCAACATATTTTTTTTATTGTTACATTTCTGGAAGCATCTCTCTTGTTTCTCGTGCAAGGATAATCAATATCTTTCAATTTCTAAAGATAAAATGTACATAATACCTCTATAATTGTTATAAACTATCTATTTATAATTCCGGCACTCACTCTGAAGACCAAAAGAAATATGAGGCTGAAAACTCCGAGTGCAGAATCAGTCAGCCGGACCTTATTAATATTTGAAAATAATTTGTACAGATTGTCTAAAACATTTTTTGATTTATATTTCAATCCTAGAAGGCCTTGCAACTGAGAGATAATTATAATAAGCGCTCCCGCTGACATAAAACCCGATGTGACCGGAACTGATATAAAGTCCACTAAGAATCCTGCAGGAAGAATCGTATCAATCAATTTTATGTACTTATAAACAATGAAATAGAACAAATAATAATAAAAAAAAACATGAACGAAGACATTTTTAATTTAGTCGATTAGATAATTTTGGAATACAAGCCTAGATTTAGTACGCCCATTAAAAACTCTACGCATCCAGTCAGAAAACACAATAATATTACGAAATCCTGCGGCATGTTTCGCGTGTACTGCAACGTTAGAAGGGACATCAAAGATGATGGACCAATCGAGACCTCTTTGGTGGTCCCAAGAATAATGTATAAGAAACCGCCGACAAAGCAAGAGTACAAACCATACTGTAAACATTAATTGTCATATGATATTTTTAAAGATAGAGAGAGAGAGACACATTACATCAGTAATAAGTATAATATTATATCATATATAGTCCAAAAAAGTTTTAGAACTAACATTTAAGGAGATAACGATCAACGCAGTCATGCATTTTTTGAAGTTCAAAAAGATTACAGACTGAGATTTAAAAAATACGTGTGTACATATATTTACATTTATGGTTATTAAATAGATATTCGCTTATCTATGCTTATAGTTTTAATTAAAGCGAGCAAGGGGAACAACGGACTATGTGATACCTGCGGAATCCGTTCAGCCAGTACCGCGTAGGCCATACTTTGAGGGATCATAGTCAGACCCAAGGTGATACCCGCTATTATGTCTGATACGGCCTTCAACCTAGTATAATGCGGTAACCAGCCGAATATCGGCAGGTACTTCGCCACTGTGAAGCGCGGCTTCCGCTTTAAAATTGATAACGGTGGAGGTTCTCCGTCGGACATATTCGCGTCGCGTCGACAAGTTACAAACGAGAGACTAACGAGAATTTCACGTAAGACTGCTATGCTTTCGCGGCTTTGCGATTGCAAGCATGTTCCAATGGATCTCTCGGCACTCCTGCATCAGTTACGCGTAATCTTATCATCCCCACGTCCTTAAAATCTCGTTGTAAAATAAAAATTCCAGTGAGGAAATCTCATTAATTGCGCTACTAATTCTCACCGGTTTTGTGTTATACACACTGTTGACATTTTGATAAAGACTCGCGCAAACGGGCGGCAGAAACCTTGACACGGGATTAATAACAGCTGACTTTACAACTACTACTTGCTCCATTTCTCATTCCTTCATAATACGATGTAAGACACATGGCAGGCTGATACTACGATCTCTGAGAGTCCTACTTCTTTTATCTTCTGATGTGCAGCTTCTGAATCGATGAGGAAAATAGTCAATGTTACTGAGAAAGTTATTTTTGTTGTCAAAATTTTATTACGTTTTTGCAAGACGAAAAGCGTCAAACGGACGTATAATCGGTAGAGTATGACGTGCATAAAACGCTTACGACATACTATTCAATACAGCTAATTTTGTGATTTCATCGTGCTAAAATCTTCTAACAGACAAAGATTTTTTAATCGGAAGATAGTCGCACACGACGGGCGCTTTATCGCGCTACGCGTGTTTATGCGTTTTATTCCTATTTTTCAATGAATCGCGTAAGAAAAATAAAGTGTCGTTAGCTTCAATTATCTACAAAAAAGATGTCAAATAAAAAAGTGTAAAGTGAAGTTGAAAAACGCTGTGGCGCCTAGTAATAGTAGTATACATATAATAATATATGAAAATGACAACAATCTTCATAAATAATAATAATATATAATAATAATAAATGTGACTGACTCGATAGAATCTCTAAGTAAAAATCCGTTTTGAACATAACGGAAGCGTGTCCGGTTTTATCTCGCACTTATGGAATACGACATTTTCGCGGATGGTTGATGAACATTTAACGCAGCTTCTTGTTAACTTGTTCGATCTGCTCGTCGATCCTCTGGGAAGTACCCCTGAATTTATTCGGCTCTGGTCCAATCATCTGTATGAGCTGCGGCACTTCTTGGCCGCTGATCTGCGTGAAACGCGCCAGTGACTTCATACACGTGTACAGCTGCTCCTCCGCGGGACTACCGTTGAAGTATTGCAGTAACGCCATCGTCAATTCCACTGCGATGTCGTCAAACACCTATAGTTCATACATTACGTAAAGATATTTAGGAATCACATTATATCTTACTTACGCGAATGAGAATATTCGAAGATATGGCTGTACGACGCGATTTTAAGTAAATAATTGTCAAAAATAACATATAAATTGCGGCAAAAGAGAGTTTGAAAGCTCTATAACCATCTTAAAATTAATTTATTTTTTCAAATTAATGTATTTTTTATATTTAATTTTTAATTTAAATTTAATTTTTTTTCTCCTAGTAATCGCAAAAAACAATTACATACAATTTTTTTTACGGAATGTAATGTTATAGAATTAGGATCAAGCTTGGAAGCACCGTTGTTATGTAAATTCTCTATAATTCACTGTAATTTTATTAACCGTTACATATACGGGATGTTATCAAACACTCACTTGAAAAATTAATCGCGGTTGTCGCGCACATCGCGTTACATATTACGCGTGTGTACTCAGTGGCACGCAAGATACCGATAAGAGTTAACGACTTACCGCAGCGCACGGTTCGATCTAACATGGATTTGGATAGGTACCTTAGAAATGCTGCCTTTCGGTAAAAGTCGCCGCAGATTTTTGCTTTTGTTCATTTTCTGAAAAAACAGTATCCGATTTCTGGAAAGATATCCGTCACACGCAGCGTTATCCGCGCGATTAGAGAGCTTCAGTGTGCGCATGCAAACGAGCATCGAGTGAGTCATGTATCCTTTGAGCCGTTCTTTTTGATTAATGGCAAATATTTACGTTCTCTTTTACGTCCTTTTCGTTGCTCGTTCGTGAAATCGGGTTACCAGGCGATATGTCCACGTCGACGGTCACATTTAGCATTGACAGCAATTTACAGAGCTAATATTTCTTTTTTTTTTCTATTATGTACATATAATAAAGGCAGCACTTCTTTCTTAGGCACACAGTGCGAGCTTGTTCTTTTGTGACATCGGCAAGCACGCATTCCGAAAGCGTCATTAAATAATATCGCGCATCGAAGGTTCGCGTTTTAATGTTAGACAATACCTCTTCTTCTATAATATATACAATCCTGTTCTAAACTCGTAAAATGAGTAAAACTTACAACGCAATAGTATTACTGTATAATATATTATAAAGAAAGATCTGTAGCTTAAAGTTGAATAATTGTAGAATTATAATCTTCGAGAGAGATAAGATGCCTTCGATACGCGACACGCTTGTAGCGATGAGTTATGAAAATGAAAGCAAAAATCGACGAAAGATGAAAATGTTAATTGGACAGGAAGGATACAGACCACAGTTTTTACCTCCTTGCAAGCAAGGTTGTGGATAATAGCTGCACCGCGGATCTGTAGGTCTTCTGAGTTTGAGAGCAATGAATGCACCGCAACCTTTGTCGTCACCCTTATGTTGCTGATATTGCTGCTGACGTTCTGATCCTGATGTTGCCACTCCGATATATAGAGTAACCATTCCGAGCTGCTGAGATTCTCGAACATATTTGCCAACTGCTCGAAATAGTTATTGATGTTAAAAACTTTCAGAAAAATAAGTATCAATAGAAGTTTCCTCTAATGTACAAAAAATCAGGAAACTATACGAATCAAAATATAAAATAATTGCTTTACTTAAAATAATTTCGTTTATACTTACAAATTGTGCGAGTGGAAGTTGCTCCTCCGGTGGATGCCGATCGATATCGAATGCATAAGTCATGATGATATGCTCTCGCCTATCTTGATGTAGCAACAGAATCACATCGTCCTTCAATGCGGCAACGGACAGCACGTTCAACAGTTTTACTCGTACATCACTATCTAACGATTTATCGTAAAGAACTCGACCTGAAACCCATTTAATTTAATTTAATTTAACACAATATATCATATACACACTCTTTTAGGACATTAAATCTTTATTTAAAATTTTTTAATTCAATTTTATAAGTTCCGAAATATCTCTAGTAAGTTCAAAATTTAATCGAATAAATCCGACTCATTTTCAAAGAGAAATTTAAAAGAGCTATGTATTTGTATTATTTCAGACTCACCAACGAAGTTCAGAAAATTGTCGCCTAAAGCCCAGGAACCCTCATCCTCCAAGACATATTGCCGCAGTTCACCCAGGCAAGTTTGTTCCTCGTCGTTTAATTTCCCTTTGAGAGCGCTTACCAAACTTTCATACTCCGTTCGTATATCCACCAAGTCTTTGAAAACTATTGGTGGATCTCGGTGGCGTTTCTTTTCTTCTTGCTCGCGCTTTTCGTCCTCCTCCATCTGCATCACTCGCTCAGACGGCAGCAACTCCGCGGGTACAGTTTCCCCATTAGTCGCCTGCTGCGTTTCGCCGACTGCACCTAATAAACAATAAATATAAAAATGATTTTCCAAATTGTAAGTTTATTATTATTTTTTATTATTATATATATTGTTTTTAATTTATATAAAATTCTACACACTTTCGTTCTCCGCCATATCTGCACAGCAATTGCTCGGTCCGGTACTGTTGTTGTCGCTGCTGGTGGCCTCCTTGCTGCTCTTTTCTTTCTTCTCCTTTTTCTTTTTTTTCTTCTTTCGGTCTTTCTTCGCTAATTTCTCGTTAATAACGTTCCTCCGTTCTTCTAACGCGATTGAATTCAATCTGTAAATATGTTCAATATTTTAGTAAAATATCTATTTAAAACTTAAATGATAATCACGCGTTAAAACTGTACCTTGCTTCTTCGATAGCTGTGTTCAGGAGTTGATATTCCGGCGAAGTTTCTCTCTGGATTCTCGGCTCAACGAATCTCTGGCCAACCGTGAATCCAGCACTTGAGCCGCTGCTTAATGTTTCTATCAACGGACTTAAAGCTTGTCCGATAGGACTGAAAATATAACTCGTATTGAAATATCGCTTCGAAATAACGTAAACAGGTATTTTACATATTTTTTAATAATATAAATATAAGATTAAATACCAAATCGTAACAGTTATAATAAAAACATACGTTTGTAATATTTCTTCCGGCAGATCAAGGATATACTTGGGAATGCCTTTGCCCACCAGGAAATTGCTGACCTCCTCACTGAAGGAATTACAATTATGTTTGAAGAGGTTGTACGTGCCCGTTCTGAAAGAAAAAAACTGTTTATTCTACAAAAATTAATTTTCAAGCATTAAATACAAATTAAGTTATTAGATAATAACGCCTAACAATGAGAAAAAAAAACAAAAACCGAATGTGTAATTTAAAAAAAATCGAATAATTTTCTTAAATTTAAATGAATAAATCTTATGCAAAAAATTAAAAATTAAAATTATTATGAAAGATGATCATAGAAGTGACACGTGATATATCTTTAAAAAATTAAATAAATGTATAAAGAGGAAGAGACGTGACTTAAGTTGAAGGTGGTACGAATCACGCCTTGAAAAGTATAAAGAATAAAATAAACGAAAATAAAGTGACGTTTAAAGTATAATATAATAGTAATCAACATACAAGCACACATAATTTGCTTTCTCACAGTTTCAAGCACAAAATGAAGATATAGAAAACGAAAGTGGCCGAGGTAGTAATTCCCGACACAAACACATACATTTCAGCATGCACAGCCGATAATAATACTCACGCAAACGTGGAGGTCCCCAGGCCGTTTATGTACTCCAGGAAGACCGAGTAGGGCAGGTAAGTCTCGCCGAGCTTCTCGACTCTTTGCGGATCTCGTAACTCCGTACCGCCCTGAAACACGAAATGCCGTCGAGCGGTCGCGTTAAAATCGCGTCCGGGAAAATCGCGCCGCGCCGTCAATGTCAATTTCGCGGCAGCTGCGCTGATCCGACGGCCGGTTTCGTTCGCCAGAGAGACAGAAGAGAAAAGTGAGAGAGAATGAGAGTAAAAGAGAGAGAATGAGAAAGATAGAGAACACCCGCCTCCTCCTGGCATTAGTGGCCGCGTAATTTTAGAACTACGACAAATCTCGCGCTTCCCTGCGAGAAACCGCCGAAAATAGACGCCCGCGGTATGCGTTGGAGCCGCGACCTCTTCTAGAACGCAAAAGAAAGACACGGCCCGGCGGAAGTAAAGAACACGAGGAGAGAGATGAAAAGAAAGCGTTTATTACGCGCTCCGAGAGTTGGATCTCTCGAGGAAACGCGAAGACGTGTTGATGATGCAAATTCTTAAAGTCTAAAAAATAGTGGAATCTACGCGATACATTTTATAGAAACATGAAAGCGAGATTAGTATCGAATGGATAGGAAAATTTAATTATTAATTTACGTTGAATTACGAAACGTGGTCCTCAATGAAAATAAACGGATTAATTGAGAAAAAAAAAACCTCCATCACTCGCAAGATATAAAAACAGAAATTAACAGAATAGGAATTATTATCCAAAAATCGGAAATGTTATCCAATTAGCACACTAAATCAGTCGAAGACTAAAAATTTCCTTAATCTAATACTGACCAATTTAATATTAGCCAATTTATTACGGAAAGACAGTAATTAATTATTATTTATTTGGAATAATAAAGTACTGGACAATAAGTGCTTTTAATACTTAAAGTAAATAATTAATTACTGTCTTTCAATATATTGATCAGTATTAAATTTAAGGATTCTCCAATCTTAACTCTCTCAAGAAGTTGGAAGCTAATAAACGTACGATGGACATTACTTGATATTTTAACAATGCATCCGTATAGTTTTCTATTAAGAATTATTTACAAAACTGTATAATTATAATTATCTCACAAAATCGTAATTTTTGATAGTCTAGTCCTTCATCTTCCGCGTCCTAAAATTGCACTTATCCTCTCTCTCTCTTTCACTTTCTTTCTCTTTCTCAACAGCACTCGAGACCACGAGATCTTCACTTCCGGTAACTGCGAAACAAAACCGGAAATGCATTCGAGCACTTACAAATCGGAAAGACCAAGTAAGCCAAAATAGATAAAAATGGAATGAGAAAGAACCGTCGCAGGACTGTCCTTTCTCACTCTTTTCGAGAGCGGTCCTGAGAGCGGGAAACGGCTCGCACGCGGACTGCCGATGCTTGGAGAACACCACGGCGAACGAGACGCCGACGGTGAAGGATGAGTGTGTGGCGCGCGCGCAAATTGAGATTTGCGCTCCTAAAATCGCTGGCCGAAGATACCGTTCGGAAAAAAAGGGATACTCGCTAGGAAAGAAGCAATTCTAGGATTTGCCTATTCAGGCAAAGTTTGTCGGATGAGGAGTTAGTGATGTAGATGTCGGCAAACGTGATCGGTTGCGGTAATGTTGATGGAATCCGAAAAAAAAAAAGAAAGCATTATTCACAAAAATCAATAAAAAATCAAAATGACTTAATTTTAATTCTTAACGTCAATAAGCAGTCAAATTTTATAACTAAAGATTATTAATAATTTGACTTTCTGATGTCAAAATAAAGTTATTTTTCTTAACTTTCTCTTGGTGTGTTGGCCCTCTTCATTCTGAAAATGCTTTGAAGCATTCTTTAATTGGTCAATTCGTAAAATTCTTTCTCCTGATTGGTCAATGAAGCATTTGCAGTATCTATTGAGTGAATTACATTCATCTATCCGTCATAAAGGCCAATTGCAAGCGATTGCTGATAATACTGATATGCATTACGTGGACGACTAAACGAGAAGCTATCTTGGTAAAACAAAGATAACTATTCGTTATACAGGTCGTAATTCCTGTTGAGAAAAATGGATGCGCAAAAAGGAGTAGGAGAGATACGAATGTGATTAGAAATAATTAGATGGGAAATAAATTAAGAAATTGCTTATAATTGATTTGTAATTGGCACGTAAACAATTATCGATTATCTCGGCCTGCGTTAATAGATAATCGAACCAAAACTAAAATTATAGAATTGTAGAAAAGTAGATATATACATATTCATAAATATGTATCTTGAATAAAAAATATTTTTAATACAATTGGAGCATACAGCTGAGTTATTGAGTTTCACGAGAGGATTCCGTAGGCGGAAATGAGTGTGTCAGTTACAGAGGTCCAGGTGTCATAGAGCGACATACATTACAATTACGCGCGTGTTAGTCACGTGCGTATTTTCGTCGGCGTGGATAAAGTAATACCGTAATGATTTCATCGCGTTGCTTTTAGATGCGCATCGGTGTCACGATTACTACTTCCTGCTTGACACCGCTTCAGCTCGCACGGAGGAATACAACGGCCAAGGGAAGATATTAATTTTTATATAATACGAGTTCGATTCCAGGAATAGTAGGTTCTTCCAGATGCTATTAAAAGAAATTGCACAGGATACTATAAATATACCTCTGCATTCTGTTCAAAAACAAGAAGAATCTTGTACCAGAAAACTTGAAAGCTATGTATATTCGCACATTCAATATATACGAAAAGAGACGAGCAATTTAAGAGACACGCAAGAGAGAAGGTTTGAATCGTATCTCGAGACTTGTAAACTTGGTACTTCTAGAATTATAACTTTTCAACTATTAAGAGAATTATTCAAATCTTTTGAATTCAAGTCTCTACATGAACACTGTCTTTTTCTACTGTATTTTAATCTCGAGTGATTTTTATGGCCGGTTTCGCTTTGTACCTTCAAACATATGCTGAAAAGGTTATAAAAATGCTTCGTCTAAGCTCAAGTAACGCAGGACTATTCTAAGGTAATTTCACTGTCTAGTCATAGCAAGGCTATGTTCAGATTTTCACTCAAGTGCCACTCAGATATCATTTTATCCTTGTTGTTCACCGAATATCACACAAGGATAAAATGATATACCTGGGGAGCACTCGGGTGGGAATTTGAACGTTCGTCAGAGGGTGGACCAGCTACATGACTGCGGTGAGATTAGAAAGCAACCACAGCGAGATGATTGGAGAACATTCTGTCATATACGAGGATATAAGGACTCACCTTACCTTCGCCTTACGTCAAATCTAAACGCATGGAACATATAGGGCAGGAAAGAGAGTAGTCGCGAGAGAGAAAGAGAGAGGAAGCGGATGTGTGCGTGCACGTGTATAGGCGTGAGTACGTGTGTGCGTGCAGCGGGGATTATTTTCGGATTGAACCACACCAAATTTAGTTCCCGCTTGTATCTAGCGTATCGTATGGCCCGCCGAGTGACTTGGTCGTTCTACGAGTGACTAGGCCTTTCGATGATCGGTCGCGACTTTCGGGCTACGCATGCATCGGCGCATAGATATATCAAGTGCGACGGGAAGCGGCGGGAATCATTAATTCTTTCAGCTCGTTGATAACACAGCCCCTGGTTATTTATACTGCACTTGTCCCAGCGACGTTGCTGCGCGATGACCCGCTCGACTGATGCCTGACCAGAGCAAAGACATAGAGTATGAACTGCGTCATCTGTATTTAAATAGTGTGTCAAATGTGGTCAACGAAAATAAGAAAGAGAGAGCGCGAAGGCGGCCAATCCCCTTCTCCTTCTAAGATATTGTAATTGGTTGAATAGAAAAAAAAATAGAGACTCGCTGTCTTGCGTCCTGTCTCTCTTATTTTTGTCGATCAATTTTACATTTGGATGGAACAACCCGTGCTCTACGTCTTTGGATCAGAGTATAATTTTCACGTTTCCGTTTTAATAAGGAAAAAGTTACATGATTGGCTCCCTGAGATTGCCACGGTGATATGCAAATGATAAGAGAGAAATATTGACGCGTGGGAGCGGTACTAGCAGAATGGACTATAGTGTTTATTTAGCAAACAAAAATCTCGCTGCCGAGAGCTCGGCGGCAGGACGCGGTGCTTACTAATGCATTGTTGATACTAGCCGGGAGTCGCAATTGATGTTTCTAAAGCGCGGGGATTTCTACTCACGAAGATGAAAGAAAGCACTCGGGCGGAGTATCGAGTACGGCGCGACGGGAACCACCTGCGTAACTGAACGAAAACCCCGCGTTGTATTTTAACGTTTCGCCGGTGTCGCCGTGATGCAGACAGCGCTACTAAACGCTCGATCGCATCCCAATCAAGATAATCAGATACGCCAGTGGCGGAGGATACTCACGGGTCGGACACTCTGGATGCCAGCGGGGCCGAAGAAATACTCTCTTCCGTATGCGACTATCGCCGTGTGCCATATTCCATCCAATTGTCGACCTGCAAAAAATTGAAGATTAACAACCGCTGTTTTAATGACAAACAGAATGCGATAGTAAAAAATTATATTTAATAAGATGTGTCTATTAGCAGATATATAATTTTAGCACTTTTATTTGTCAATATAACATTAAAACCTTTTATAAAAATTAGATAAAAGATAATAATCATTCAATAATTATCATTTCACGATGTAATACTATTAAGAACGATAATAATCGTACGATAAATGTCTATCGGTACAATTTTTACAATGTGAAACGTCTCTCAGCAAATATTTTTTAGAAGAAGAGAATTCTAAAGACTCCTCACACGATATTTGAACGAAAGATTATAGCTGGTTCCAAGTTTTCGGGATCCAGAAAGAATTCGGAATTAGATGAGAAAACTAATTTTATTTGCATCTCCGGCGTGATCCAACGCGAAGCAACCTCGAGACAGGCTTAAATTCAGGCTAGCGATATTTATTCAAGGTCCATCAGAGACGATCATAATTGTGGCTTGTCCTCGCGTAAATTCGTTGGCTAGATCATAGCGCGAATCGCGAAGCTCGCGCGAGCCCGGCTAAAGCTCGAGTTTGCGGACCTGTACGTGCCTCCTTCGACCCAGTTCTGCACCGCGGAAATAGCTAAGTACATCCGCGTACACGCGTCGTTTCGTGGTTTTCTCATTGCGCCTCTCGGGCCTCCCAGTGATGTCGGCCTCGCAAGAAATAACCTGGCCGTTATAATTACTTCCAGAGCGGTGCCGACGTTTACGAATTCAAAGACGCGAGGCGGCTGTTGGTCTTTCGATTCCGTGGATGCAACGGGATACATTTATAGATCGTCACTTTACATAATGCAAATTTTCGATCTAGAGTCTTGGAGGGTTTTAGATATACAATTACATTTTTATTTATCGTACTAAATTAATCTTTATATAGGAAAAGAAAGTCATTACGGTGATGCTAAAACAGTGTCACATTTTGAAACAAGAAATACAATAAAAATAACATATTAAATTATATAACAAATCTTATTTAAGAAAAAATTGTAAAATTTAAAAAGCAGACTTAAATAGGAAGACTTTTTGAAATTGGAAAAATAATTATTGAATAAAATACCGATGAGAATAAGCCATTTACGATCAAGCTGGATCTTGGATGCTTCCAATATAATTTCGTATGAATTTATATACTATACGTATGTAGAATTAAATGCGCGCCGAAATTTTTTTCCAGACTTACAACGCAAACTAATAAAGTACCGCAGTATTATCACGAGTTAAATTGACTAACAATCTAACAATTATTAAATAATTAAATGACAATTACACACAACATTGATTCGATTCGAAGTCACAAACCCTTATAATCAGAAATTTGGAAGATATTTCTCGGGAGACTCGTTGGGAGTCTTCTATGTCATATTCAATTTATCCACGATATAATCCCATGTTTTCGAGGTCTGAACTCGACACTCGCTCGGTCTGGAGCAAATGCCAATTTATGCGGATCAAAATTTTCTCAGAGCATTGGAACGAACGCTGCCCTCGACGCACTCGAAAATAGACGTCAGAGAGTGCAGGAACACGTAGCTCGTCGGACACGTGACGCACACGGTCCACATCTTACGCCATTCGTACGGAATTCCATACGCATTATGGGAGTACCACACTCTGGCACCCTTTCCAACTGTTTCCGTATTGGTTTTGCTGCACCTGCGATTCTCTTAAATTATCGCCGCGCATACCGCGCGCGTTTATACGTCTTCACTTACGAATCACACTTTGTCTTTCGGATCATTCATTTCTAAACCTCGAGAATTAGCTAGCATCTAAGTATCGCAAATAAGTGTACATACATGGTCTGACAATAAAATTCTCTGACTGCAACAATAAGAAGCACAGACATTTCAAACAACAATATATATTTTATATATATATATATATGTTATACTTTATCTTTTATAAATAAATGGTAGCATCAATATATTTCACGTCTTTGATACAAAGCTTAAAAGCATCATGAAAGATAAATAAGATGTCGATGATATTCAGAAGAATGTGACTCTGAATATAGCATTTCAACTATGAATTAAAAAAAAAAATTTTTAGACTTTGTATCAAAATGTGTAAAGTGTGCCTATTGATATCATAAGGGTCTATTAAAAAAAATATAACAATTTGAAAGGTCTGTGGTTTTTTGCTGCAGTCTGAGAACTTTATTTTAGATTGTATCTTTCTGACGTTGCTTCGATTTTATTTCGTGCATCAATTTAATTTTATTTTTGCGCATTTCAGCGCACATCTCATTGCATCTCAGTGGAGCGCATCGAGCACTAAACCGTCATGAAGCTAACCGATGCGACATCGTTGCTCTCTGAGTCATCGTTGCCTAAAATGTCACCAATTCCCGACGGCTGTTTATATATTTGAATCGCATTTAATCTGAAATTGTCCATACGATCTCGCAAGAGTGGCGCAACGTCGAAAGAAACAACAACGAGTAAACACAGCGATATTAATAATTTGCGGATTATGAGCATGCATGACTGGCAAAATCGAAGAGAACGAGTCAAGAAATCGATTGACAGCGTCAGCTTCTTTCAGCGAATTGGATTAACTGGAATTGCAACCATATATTACGGAGGTCTCAATTAGAATTTTGCGCGTCAAATCGAGATTGTAGTTCTTTTGTCTATTATTTGCAACGTAAAGGCAGAAGAGATTCATCGTTTCTACGGCGCATTATAACAAAGAAATATGTTTTCCATCACATTATATCTTTAAATAACATTTCGGCTCAAGGTAATGGAGCTTAAAATTGCATCTGATGAAAACAACGATGAAGACAACATTTCGTTTTGATTTATATCGTGAGCAATCATTGATCACAATGCAGTGAGCAATTGATCACGTATATGGTAATTGAGCAATTATATTATACGTGACGTAAGACCGGATTTTTTAAGTCGATGACATTTTTAGGCAAAAACCCTTTACCCTCTTTTTATTTACCAAGTTAAACATTATTTAATTTAATAAGTAAAAAATAAACATTTTAACGAGTAAAAAGTATCGACTGAAATGTGTATAATGCAATAAATAAATATTTACATTTTCCAGCGTACAGTGAAAGCTAATAACCTTTAGGCTAATTCTACAATATGCTTTTTGTTTTTTGTGCCTTGCTGTTTGTCTCTTGCCTTCTTGATCAAAAAAGCAAGAGACAAACAGCAAGAAACAGAAAACAAAAAGCATATTGTAGAATTAGCCTTACTCTCTTTAAAAGACTTTAGAAACGAATGAAATACAGCGATCGAACGTTTACTTTCATTGTAAGAAAATATTACAAGAACAATCAAGTAAAAAAATCAATACAAACGATATATTTATAAGTAACTATTAATACTATTATGAGTTTCTTGTGTTTTTACCAATAAGTATCGGCGACATCATCGCGGCCATTCCCTTGGTGAGGTCATAAATGTACAGCTCCACTGCCGTCCTTATATCTTCCTCCTCCATCTTGTCCTAAAAACAATATAACATCTTTCAAAAATTGCAGCAATTATTATAAACTTAAATAGTCGTTTCAAATCATAATTGCTAAAATTGCTAAACAATCTATTTCCCGAATATTTATGTGAGTAAAATATTCCGTACAATTCTTTTTCATTTTTGACTTTTATGCGAGGTAAAATTCACGTGTCTACTTTCGTGAGGGTAGATACAACGATGTCGCAAACGTTCTGACGTAAAGCTCATTCAACAATCACGCAAACGTAATTATAAGTGACTTGTGAAAATTGATCGACCAGTCGAATATCCTCTCTATATTCTTTTTCAAGACTGATTCAACTTCAATCTTTAAAAGTGAAATTTTATTCCAAAGAATTTAGACAGCAATATTTAGACTTCATCTATCGTAGGCTCTTGCTCTTAATAACAATATCAGTTGAAAATTACAGGGATCCTAAAACCTAAAATAATTTTCTGCAATGAGGAGATGTGTGATACTCACAGCTCTTTTTTAATAATATTATATACTGTGTTTTACGGTAAACACTTCTTCGACACTCTCGCCATGCAGTGTCGTTCAGTTTCTCGCAAAGGAATGTCTAGTGTTACAAGACCGAGAGTTTCACTACGTAATCACGTAGTGAATCAGCGATTTAGACGCGTCCGCATTAGAATCAATTATATCTAATACGTAACAGCTTCGTTTTCGAGCATGACTCGGTCGTTTGATGTAATCTATTGATCTATCATAATTTAAAGAGATATTGCGAAGTTTTCGAAAGAAACCCAAGCTTTATAGATGTTTAACAATAAGTACAGGCAAATTTTGTTGTGTTATCATTTAGAAAAGTAAATAACAAGACTGAATAAAACATTTTTTCTTATAAACTTCTTAATAATTTGCCTTTTGCAAAGGATATTTCTGCCAATTTCCGTTAAAATAAATGTATCTTTAAAATCTGTAGCGCACGATGCATTTTTCCTTGCTAGATCATTTGCATTTTAATAAATTGCATCACACAGAGAATGCAGAATTTCTAATAACTTATTAAAACAATCCAGCACGAAAAATACATACATTATGTGTCGTAGACTTTAACAAACGAGGATGTTAAAAACATCTTTAAGTGATACAACGTTAAATCTAATTAACAAAGAAATCTTGTGGATTCATGAGATTTTCTTCGAGCTTCATTTATTACATAATCACGTAAACCTTCTTAGCTTCTTTTGTCACAAGTTAAGTTTCATTTTAAGAAAAATGCTTTGCTTTTTAAAGGAATATCTCTTTACTTAAACTTTTTAGTATACACACAATGATTTTCCGGTCCTTATACGTATACATACGATCGTTACAAAAAATTACAAGGTTATTACATTTAAAACAAATTGTGTTTATGCATGTTAAACTATGTCGCTCAATGCTCCTAATTTTTCAAAGAGAAGAAATGTGCAGAATGACCCAATCGTATATGTACTAAAGATTGATTAAGAATAGATAATTACTCGCGAGTCATATATATGTCATTAGAGCGAATTGAAAACTAAAGATTGATTAAGAATAAACGATTCGAACCGAGAGAAAAATATACGAAAAGACTTTTGCAAGCGCGGTTTATACGAGGAACAAGAAGAGAAGCATCGACAAGGCTTACCTTCCTGCTCTCATTGACGGCTTAACAGGTGGATCGATTATCGGCTGATATGACTTCAGCGGAAAGGACGGGGACGGAAACGGCGGATAGACTCCTGGCAAAGCGGCGGCGGATCGACCGATAGACGAGAAGCCGACGCGACCGATGCTGAACAACGACGATGACGAGACGAAAGCACTTTGATAGCACAAGTCTCTCGGGAGCGCCCCGGGGTGCGCCTCTCGCGCTAGATGGCTACCGGCTAGCAAATGCAAACTGATCGCGCCGAAATCCTCACCGCGGCCTCCGCGGGGCCGCGGGGTCCCTCACGGCGCGGTAGTCGTTCTTGGCAGGAAGAAACGGTAAAGAGGTAAGAGGGTCATAAGCAGCGGCCGCCGCAGCCCAAGGAACACGCATGGAAGTCAAAAAAAAAAAGTCAAAGTGACTTTATTCGCAACGTTGATGAACAGATAAATTTTTTAATCAAAAATCACCGTGACTTTCAAAGTAAATAACGTCAAAGTAAAATAATCTTGACTCTCTCTCTCTCTCTCTCTCTCTCTCTCTCTCTCTCTCGACTTGGTCTCTTGTTTGCTCCTTGCTGGAAGGATGTGATATATTCTCCGTTCCCGCGACGATCCGCATTGTCAGGATTCATTGCGCAATTATACTCCAGACGTCACCGAGAAGAATGCAACTGTATATAATTGCATCTCGGTGGCGTCTATGGAGAAGGAACGCTCCCTCTCTCGTTTTGGCTCGTTAAAATACACTTTAAAAGACGACGCTATTGTCGCTGAGTCACGCTCTACGTCGAATGACGCAGACACCCGGTCGAGACGCCTGTCTCTCGTACGCAGATACGACTATTAACGTACGTCTCTATCTGTTGCTCCATCTCCGTAGGTGTTTTTTTTTTTTTTTATATAAACAATTTATCATATATATATATCACTTTTGTGATTTCACAGTTATTCCGAAACATAATGGACGTTGGCTAGAGACCCTGGCAGGCGCGTTTTGGAATTATGCATAGCGCGCGTCAAAAATACACGTGATTCTCCGTTCCGGATTGATGCAACGCGAATCAAGAGAATCTTCTCTCCACACAAACGCCGCAGAGTGAATATTTCTAAACGCTTCTAAATTTGAAAACTCAGTTATATCGAAAGAGACACGCCAGTTTTTAGCGACTGAGATCAACGCATCTCTCCTTAGAAATGTGATTTCGCAGAGTATAACGAGAAACGTTGCAAGAGACGTCGCATGTTCGACGATGAAAAATTTGCTAATAATCGAAAAATTCGTAAAGCTTGAATTTATCAGGCTCGATTACGCTAAAATTCATCCGACGAAAGATGTGCCAGCGTCTAAGTTTATTTATATCCGAGTACGATCACCTGGTAAAGTGGCAATTGCCGGCCACTACGTGGCCATGACCAGACAACAATTCGCGATCGGTTTAAGGGGATCCTAAAGCAACGGGAATGACCGACAATTACAGTTAACCATTTTCTCCGAATTGGCTTTATAGATCATGAAAATTTTTCACACGATGAAAGTACACATCAAAATGAATGGGTAACGCTAAATTTGATTACAAAATTGGAGAAAAAAAATATAAAATTCACTTATTTCAGCTCTCACAGCTGTCACTTGAGGTTATAATTTACTTATTGTAGAAATTCTGTAGGTCGTAGGAACTTGAGACAGAAAAGTAACAGGCGAAAGAGAGATAATAAATAAATACAATATATACTATTTCTTTGTTATAATTCGGCCAGTGTAACATTATTTTAATTTTATATTCTTGATTTGCTTAGAAAGTTTCATTTTCTCCGAGATAAAAGAGGGTTTTTGATTTGTCTTCCTAAAATATGGATGTTAATAAAGATACTCTGACTTTTAAAATTTTTTGAAAGTCCAATAAAACAGTAAAAAAGAACTTGGGCTGAATGGAGAGAGTAAAAAATATTTATCAATTATAATAAAATAATAAAAGTAAATAACATAATAAAAGTTTACCAATTAAATCAATCAATGATGATCAATGCCCATTAATTCCCACCGATGCAGTCAACTTAAACTCGGTTCTCAACGTCATCTTTTTATAATTCTTAAAATGAGAGAAAAAAGTGAAGAACTGTAAAACTTAACTAACCGAAATTAAAATTGAACAACGTTGCAACATAAAAACGGGCATAAATTGATTGAAGTTTCGCTAAAATCACCCTTAATCCGAAATGATCCGAAGTGACCCCCGAGAGTCGAGACCGTCCTGGAACTACCCCGAGGTCCGAGGTGCGTGGTGCGTCTCGCGGACAGAGAGGGTAGTTCCGAGAATCACGGAGCGGGCGGGAGCGAACGCAGCGCGCGCAGCGTCGGAAACGCGCGACGCGCACAACCGATTCCGCGAGCGCCGCGCCGGATATGCTATATCGACGGCGCTACGCTCTTTCGAAAGTGCGCCAGGGGTCGGTGTCCGCTTCTACCCCGTCGTAGGACAGGTTGCATAGTGCGCGGAGAGAGAGAAAGAGAGAGAGAGAGAGAGAGATAGCCGAAGATAGCCGCAAGAGAAGGGAAAAGCGCTCTTGCGAGCACTTGCGAGTGGCGTCGTCCTTATCGTCCTTGTAGTCTGGACGTCTGTCGCGCGCGCAATTACGGTCGTTCGATCGACGTTCGGACGGACGGTCGAGGAGAGAAAGAGAGGGAGAGAGAGAGAGAGAAGGAAAAAAGAGAGAGAAAAGCGAAAGGCGCGAGGAGAGAATTTCGGTAGCGCCAAGAGAAATCGCAAGCGACAGATTTTACCCAGCGTTGAGCGGAGAGACCCCCCCTGGGGACTCGATTTGTACTCACCTTCCTTCGGTTTACTCCGGTCGATCAGTGGCAGGGACACTTCGGCTCGCCCTCTCGCCTGGCTCGTCGAGATCTCTCGCGGGAGTTCGTTGTACCGCGCCGAGCGTGTCCGTGTTATATTCGCGAGGTGCTCCTTTCGCGCGCGCTCAGCTGACTACGCGCTCACTCCAATTCCGCGTATACGAACAACACAGTGCTGGACTAAAGGAGCGCTGGTGCGGTCGCACGACGACATCGGTATTCGGTAATCATCGTTGCCATCGTAGGATACGCGGCTCGTCATCCGCGAAAAAGAGAGAAGGAGAGCACGCGAGAAAGACGGAGGGAGGGAGAGAGAGAGAGAGAGAGAGGGAGGTTAGGTCAGCCCCACTGACGTTGACTCGACAGTTTTCCTCGTCGCGCGGAGCGTCGTCGCGACGCTAGGGACTTTGGCGCCACCGCACACTTGTGCGGCCGTACAACACAACGAGCTGAACAGCTGATGCACCACCGATACCGGCGAGATGTCAAATATTGTAAGTGCACGCGGCGGTCAGATTGCTCCAGATTGCTCCCGAGCGATCTCATACGACGCGAGCGAAAATCGCGCCTCCCTTCCCCTCCCCTCTGCACACTTTGTCATCGCAACGTGGCCGCGAAAATAAAATTCCCAGACGCGAGCGATACGGACGTTCCGGAGCTCGTCATGACGAAAACTTATATATCCGGCCTTCGTCTCTCTCGATTAATTTTGATGATCCCGAGCGAGCGAATCCAGCGACGTTCCATCTTTCTGCTCTTATTGTGACTTGACAATTTTTTCAATGTTATTATGTAACTTGCAGCGAAATTAACAAGCTAGGGATCTGCCTCATGTTAATTTTAATTATAACACACCTTATGTAGAATCTTGTACAAAAGTGACTAGAATGTTCCTTTTTTGCTGTTTAGTTTGTAAATGAAATTCATTTATACACAAATGAAGCGAATAACAAACAGAGTTAGGAGTATATAGTTTTGTTACAAAGAATTTTATTGTACACACACACACACACACACACATGCACACAATGCTGAGAAACTTGTTTCTGCTGAATAAATATGAATTTGTCTATATGCTGTGTTTATTTATTTCCAGATCCTACGTGTGCAGTCTCCAGAGGGTACAAAACGTATAGAAGTACTACCTTCTGATACAATTTTTCAACTTTACGAGAAGGTATAGATCGCAAAAGATATTCTAGTTTATATATACATATTGTATAATGATACTAGTAAAAATTATCTGATTGTCTCTTGCTTAGGTTCATGAAGCCTTCGATTTAAATAATTTTGGATTCAATCTCTATAAGCAACGAAGTCAGAAGGAACCACTTGCATCTACTCGAAGTAGAACTGTGTCAGGAATCGGTCTTTCTCATGGAGATATACTTTATCTTGTGCCAGGTAATGGCACCCAATTGTGGAGTGCTCCATCCACCAGTAGTGCCTCCAATAACACCTCTACAGGTATCAATTTGTTCCCACAAATGATAGAACTGTAATATACAGGAATGATGAAATAGTAGATAGCATTAAAACAATACATATAGTATGCTATTTATATTATCTGATATTAAACTCTTGATGTTATTATTTATATTAACTCTTAGTACATACATTTAATCATTTATGTCCTATTTCTTTCATTGAAGTACTAGAGACATCAAGTAATTAATTATAACATTTATATATAATTTTTTAAATAAACGGTCTTACAAATATTTCTCAAAGATTTTAAAGTAAGAATTATTTAATAATTTTTTTATACTTGCAAGTGATAAAAATTAATCTGGGGCACAAATGGTTCGTGTGTACTAAAGATTAGATTAAGCAAATTTTTGTAAGGAAAATTTATGTCTAATACTACAGACTACTGAAAATTATTGAATGGATATAAGCCATCTTTTTGTTCGTCAAACGGGCTTTTATATTATTCTGTGTAATACAGAATCAGGCCCATTGGACACTGCAAACGGAGTTACAAATCGTTCGTCTGGTTCTTCACGATCTCTGCCGAATGTAGTCGAGAATGATATTGATGAGCAATTATGGAAATTGGACGGCAAGATCCAGCGTAAACGCGATGAGAAACTGTAAGTAATCTAAATGATTCAAAGATAAATCACAGTAGAAAGGAAAAATTAATGTTTACAGTTGTCGACATGGAGCAAGAGGATGTTGCGTTCACTGTTCACCTCTGGAACCTTTTGACGAGATTTACTTGAAGGAACAAAATATCAAGCACCTGTCTTTTCATTCGTATCTCAGGAAGCTCACTGCCGGAGTTGATAGGTACGTATGCAATGCATCGTGAAATAATTGTAAACGGTACAAGATATTCGACTGTATCTCGTATATATTTGTCGCAGGGGCAAGTTTATACAATTAGACGACATAAGCTGCCGTATAAAGACTGGCTGCAAGGACCATCCGCCGTGGCCGCGAGGGATCTGCAGCAAATGCCAACCGAACTCAATCACTCTAAACCGCCAGACTTATCGGCATGTGGACAACGTCATGTTCGAAAATGCTAGTTTAGTAGAACGTTTTCTTAATTATTGGCGCAGCACTGGGCACCAACGTATCGGCTATTTATACGGAAGATACGAAGTGCATTCGGATGTTCCGCTAGGAATTAGAGCAGTCGTTGCGGCCATATATGAACCACCGCAGGTACATAGCGCTCGTACAATCTTCGATTCTATAAACATACACTTCTGGTTAACAAAGATAACGTTCACGGTTTTTTTTTTTTGGTCAGGAAAGTACAAAAGACACGATAAGACTTCTGCCGGACGAGAGGGAAGCGTTAGTCGAGGAATTAGGCCGGACACTTAATCTGAGGAGAGTCGGATGGATTTTCACTGACCTCATAGCCGACGATATCAAGAAGGGAACGGTAATTTGATATACTTTTATTCTTCGTGTAATGTATTCTTAATACCGAATTCGTACGTGCGGCGATTAACTTTGTCAGTTTTATTCCATCAGGTCAAACATGTCCGCAATATAGAAAGTCATTTCCTATCCGCTCAAGAGTGCATTATGGCTGGGTATTTTCAAAATCGATACCCAAACCCCTGCCGCTTCTCGCCTAATGGTTATTTCGGCTCAAAATTTGTAACTGTTTGCGTCACAGGTAAGTTTCAATCTTACATTACAATACATGTATCTTTTTTGTTTCGAAGATATTAGGTTGATTAAAAAATTCATTTCTCGTGTCATACTAGAACACAAGCCATATAGGAAAAAAATTAACTTTTTTTTATCAACCTAATAATATACAATAACAATATTTCCTTCGAATATGAAATCTCTACTACAAACGCCATGCAAAATTAGTGCTTATCGCAGATAAATATATCTTTCTTCGGAATATTACAGGTGATGATAAAAATCAAGTACACATGGAGGGCTATCAGGTATCCAATCAATGCATGGCGTTGGTACGAGATGGCTGTTTGGTACCTACAAAAGACGCACCGGAATTGGGCTATGTGATCGAGTCGACTGATAAGCAATACGTTCCGGATGTCTTCTATAAGGTAAGTTCAAACATATCGATTTTATCTTCTATTCGATTACGTTTTTTTTTTTAATCACTTGGATCTAATAATACATGTATATCGAACGAGTGCCTTCGAATTTTCATGTTTATCGCAGCTTAACATTTATTGGAATTTACGCAATTTTGTCGCAACTTAAGATATATATATAGGATACAAACAAATTATAATACATGAAAGGAAAATAGTTTATAACTCAAAATCGATCGATTAAAAGTACATTTAAGTTGGAGCAATAAACGTTTACTTCGTACATGTATAATGAAATAATAAAATTCGTTTAAACGATGGTTCCTACGGTGTGATTAACCGCGAACCTGAAAAAAAAAAATAGATCATGATCTTTGCGTTTTCAATGATCATCGCAACTCGAGAGCAAGGAATAAGAGAGAGAGAGAGAGAGAGAGCGGAAGAAAAAGGAGAGATACGGAGGGAAATAATGGCGAGGTAGAAAGGCGAGGAAAGAACTTGTCCAAGTGCTTACAGCCGCTCAATCGTTTAATCGCACGCGAGGGGCCAGGTAAATCGGTCGGTCGTTAAAATCGATATTACAAGCTATGCGTTGTTACCTCATCACGTTCATAAAAATATACGTAGTTTATATATTTGTATATATATATACGCGCGCGCATAGGTATCTGTATCTGTGTATGTGTATATATATATATATATATGTGTGTATTTTGTATATATGTACGTGTATAGGTGGGCCTGATCTTCACTCGCTTCAATACAATATGTTCTTTTCTTTACGATTGCGTCTACGATTACGTACTAAAGAGTTACAATTGTCCGGAGTCTTTCCCGTTCGGGATCGAAACGAGAGATTTCGTTCATTCATCCATCCGTTCGAACACACAATCATCTAATCCTCCTCCCCCCAACCCCCCCCCCCCCCGGTCGTCGTGTATACAATATTGTACATGTGCAATCGACAGCAAAAATGCCTTCCGGCGTGAGGAGATCGTGAACTGCTTTAGATTGAACGAGCTTCTCTATCCGTGAGTCTCGGTGGACTTTCTCTAGATCTTAGCTATAGCCAGCCAACCCAACTGCTGCTGGCTTCTTCCCTATAGAGAAGAGAGAGAAGCTCGATACAAACACAGTTCGATTTTGTTACATTTGACTCGGACAGCATTTCTGCTCTTGATCGTACAGGAGCGAGTTATTTATTCCTAAAGACGACGTGACACATTACGTTAGTCATCGCGAAGTCGATCGCGTAAAACGCGTTCTTCTTTTTTTTTTTTTTTTAATCAGCTAATCAACAAGTGTTAAAACTTTCAAGTTCAACATCGAATGAGGCTTTTCTTCGAGAAGGCATATCCGCGACGACGCGAGGGCGTGCAATTTCTGCTTATTACGCGTGAGTGTGCCTTGCCTTGTACGCGCGTGGAAATATACGCACGCACGTGTGTTCGCGAGAGAGGGAGAGATTGCGCGTCCACTCCTCGCGTACCCGCGTGCGTGTATGACATTGTATGTAACGATAATAACGCATGGGACTTTATTACGAGGATTTAGACGAGTAGTTATAACGCAGTTACATTATATCGTAGTATTTTCGATATATAGCATCGAGGAATGATTCGTTTAATATATATATATATGTATGTATATATATATACATAATGTGTATATATATATATATATACACATTATGTATATATATATACATAATGTGTATATATATATATATATACACACACACATTATATATATATATATATTCCGCACATTTCATTATTTTTTTCCTTTCGTTTCCCGATTAGACGATACGAGGCTTACGGTTTACATAGTATTTAGGCCTTGCATACATTTGCGACGTATTGAGATCTAATCTTAAATACAGATATAACCCATGACGGTTCGCTAGTTCGCAAAGAACGAAAAGGGAACGGGCTCGAGCCGCAAGTATCCGAGCAACAGTATCGCAAGATTCTTCTTCGCAAGACGCGCGCGCGCGATGAATATCTCTTTTTCTCTTCCCTTTTAGCTCTTTTTCCTCGCACCCCTGGAACGGAACGGAATGAGACGCCGTGTCCGACGAACCATAAACTGCCCTTCTACATGATTAACTATACCGATATCTCTTCTTCCTCTCTCGGCTAAGATATCTAAACGAGAGACCTGCTTATGGAATCGCGCGATTCACAACTTTTATACCAGCAAGTCGCGAAAGTCGCAAAAAAAAAAAAAAAAAAAAGAACAAGAATCGAAAGAGTCGAATGTTTGCTCGCGTGCAGATCTGTCTCTTTCGTTTCTTCGTAAATATGTCGCGTAATACACGATTCGGTTGTCTCCGACAGTTCGCTACACTTAAATTCCCAGATTATTCTACGTGTGCATTTTTTCTTTCTTTTTATTCGCTACCTACGACCTAAAACATTAGCTGCGCTCGCAGCCAGCCGAAGAACCGTCTGCCGCGATTCGCGCGGTATTATTTCTTTTTTTTCCATTATATCACGTTCAACGCGCGACACGCGCTCTATGAACTACAACGTCGTAGAAGAGTTAATAGCCGATAATAGCCAAAATAAACGTCAGACCTCTCTCTCCCTAAAAAAACAAATATATCGTATCAGCTAGAGAAGTCGTATCGATATCACGGTCGATCTCTGAGGTACGTATGTGTGTATGTGTCTGTGTATCTTCGATCATCGTCGTTATTGTTAGCAGAATCTCGTATCGATTCCCAGTCAATAGCAAAATATGGAGTTTTCTCTTTTTCTTTTTCTCGCACACGCCCATTTTAAAAATAGATTCGACATCTTTAGACACTATTGTTAATAGTTAATTAAGTTGCATGACTCGTACGGAGCGTTCGAGGATTCGCGGAGCTAATAAACGTGTCGCGACGATTTCCCCGAGCGGATATAATAATAACAATAATCGTCTCCCGTCGTCGGACAATTACGTGTAACGCGATTTCTTTTTGCACATTTCTTCTTACGTATAGGTTTCTCTCGCGGCTGCGAACGCGCGGAGTCGGGGATACCGTGGCGACTTTCCTTCGGTTATCTAGAGCAGGAAAACGTGTTGTATACGGCATTGTATCATATATATATATATGTATATATATACGGAGTGTATACTTATTTCTCGGAGATTTACCCCGCGTTGCAACAAACCGCGCGACAGCGACATCATAAACGTTACAATTTACCGCATTTCGTGATTAGAATATTCTTGGTAGGCTTGCCGGTCTGATCGCCGTACGTAGATATCTTCTCCACCAGCTCCAATCCCTCGACAACGTGGCCGAAGATGCCGGTAAAGCCGCGCATCTCCTGCAGAATTATGCGAAATTGCGAGCCGACCATGCCGAGGTTGTCGTGCCGTTTCTGCGTCCGCCTCATGCCCACCGCGCCCCTAACCGCCGGGAACTTGGTATCGTCCGGCATGAAGTAACCGTCGTCGAATATGCTGCGTCCACCGCGGCCGTTGTTAAGCTCGAAGTCACCCGTGATCACGGACTCGCCTTCCCAACACTGGAATATCGTGCATCCCTTGTAACCGATTCCGATCTCTCCCGTTGATAGCACGCTGAAATTCTTCGCCATCTTCGGCGCCGCGTCCGGCCGCACTTCGATCACGATGCGCCCGTGCGGTGAACCATTCACCTCGATGTTGAAGTAGTACAGAGGATACGGATTCGCGGGACCCCGCGTCAACGTCGCCGTTATCGCATTGGACGGCGGCTGCGGGGACGAGTGGACGGTCACTAGACTACCACCACCGGCGCCAGTGCCGACCGCGTCAGACATGAACGTCGACTGTTGCTGCGGATGCAACATGGCGTTGGGCGGTGCAGGCGGTACGGGTTTAACGGACGGTGAACCGGGTGGAATGAGAAGCTGCTGGGGAGCTTGGTTGGGCCCCGGTCCCGGTGGTGGCGGCGGTGGGCCCTGATGAACGTGAACGGATGGCGCTTGTTGAGGCGGTGGCGGCATCATACTTGAATGATGATACTCCATCGAGCCGTTCTGCATATGCTGTTGCTTGCTAACGACGTGACGCGTGTACAACTGCGACATACAATAATTAGCGAGGAACAAAATCGGATTATGCGAAGCCGCGAGATGGTTCGGCAAGCGACCCCCATTGCCTTGCGAGACAATTGGATCTCCCGTATGAATTCCCGCCAATGCCTGCTTTAACAAGGCAAAATCGAAAATCACTCCAGAGTTGCCGATGAGATCATCTAGCTGGCACTGTAGCATCATCTCCTGATATTTCGACTGCAACCTTTGTTTTTCGAGAATTAGTTGCGAGTGTAGACTGTAAACGTCACCCGGGGTTTCACTCATCTGCAGGCCAGCCCTCGTCTTGCCTAGAGTCTCGCGCGCGTCCGTTATCTCGGGAAAGTGACTCCAGCCGTTTTGCAGATCCGTTTCCACATGCGTTTTCAGCGTCACGCAAGCCTCCAGCACCTTAATCAAGAACTCGCGTTGTTGCACGGCCAGTCTTTGAATCTCCGTCGACAGTTTACCCACGGTGACTAATTCCAGTTGAACCTACGGACGCGAATTTTGTCATTAGTTTCGCTCGCTTAGTGAAATCAGTAAAAAAAAAAAAAAAATGAATAATAGGGTGGGAACTTACGTCGGATATGAGCTGTTCTTTGGCATCGGTTTGCGATTTGATCTGGTGACCTGGGTGATCCTGCGGGCTCGCGCACGCCCTACAAAGCGCCGTGCAACATGTCGCACACCACAATGCTAGCGGCATTCCGTGTGTGTGACAGTTCTCGCTCTACGAAAATATTTAAGCGTTATCGATTCACGAGGCGAAACCGTCCACGTGTTTACACGATAAACACGAAAGTTCACGACCCGCCGAGAGGAAGTGTCGTAATACGAGATCGTTGCGTTTCTCGTAGGGATATCTCCGAGATCACTTTGAAGGATAAGACATAATAAAATTTTACTGCAGAGTCGGAAATATTCCTCTGCACTTGGGGGAAAAAAAAGAAGAGTGACGACATTCTTACAACATCATCCTATTATTGCCGCGGGACCATTCCTTCTCGATATGGCTTCATATACGCGCGTCCTGCGTCTCTCGCTTTCGATTACCCCATCCCTCTTGGCAAAAGCTCACCGGCACGCTATACGTTGCAGTGTGACCGAATGATCTTTTGTCGTCCGAATCTACGCGATTCAATTTTATTCGATAGATGTCCATTTCTATCAATGTAGATTAACTTTAATCTCGGTTCGGCTTGCTCTCTCCATCTTTTTCCAAAGTCCATTTCTATCAATGTAGATTAATATTCTGATCACAGAGTTCAACTTGCTCCTCTGAGAATTAAAATTTTTTTCCTAATTCTTCGAACAAGAACGATACGAAGAGAGTTAACTGAGTCGAGATTAAAATAATTTCTATGTAAGATAGAAACAAGCGTAATTCTTAGAAGTGAAAAAAGATAAAGTTGATCCGCGAAGTTAAAATTGGAAACGAACAAGAGGCATCTCGATGGTATATTTAAAAAATTTAAACAAACCGTGTAAAAATTACTCCAATTATATTTCATCTTGACACAGCACTGACGATGCAATTTCCCTGATTTATTATTATTTGTTTAAATTAAACATATATTTACGTCCAAAATACTTCCCGTATCGTTTTCGAATAGATAAAGATCGCAACAGGTTATATTCGAAGCGAACTTTTCAGGCATTTTGATCTCTATCTCTTCTCGGTATATTATCGCCGAATATTTCAAGCGTGGAAAATTTCGACTCGACCGGTGCGACTTAAAGAAAAAGGATATCGCTAAAAAAAAAAAAAACAAAAAGAAAAGAACACAGGAAAAAAAACCGCCAGACAATTACCTTCCTCTCCTTGTCAGGCTTGCCGGACGTATTGTTTGTCGTGATCTTGAGACGCGACAAATTGTTGGCCAAGGCAAGTAGAGCAGAGTGAGTCGGTAAAGCGTCCGCGCCTTGGTTACCCAAATCCGTCGTTTTCCAGCAGTGCGCGCACTGCAGATCGCGTCCCTTCAGCAGGTTGCTCTCGATGCACCGTAGGCAAAAGTAATGCTTGCAGCTAAGGTACTTGGGGCATTGCTCTACGTCATTGTACTTCTGCTTGCAGCAGCCGCAAAGCGTCAGCTCCTCCAGGTCCGTTAATACGCTCGGATCCAGCATCTGGAAGCGTAACCACACACGTACACGTGCGTGCGTATCCCTCTACGCAATTCTGTCGTAAACATACGCGGATAACACACAGTCCACATATACACAGGACACACATACGCCCATACGCACACACATAAAGCCCTTTCTTTATATCCTTCCTATTATCAATGAAATGAAATTTTCACTGACGAGTTAAAAACCGCGAGTAAGTTATGTTAACAGACAAGGAACGTTGGCGTCGTTGTCAAAACGCTATCCAACCCGTTTTTTTTTCTTTTTTTTCCATTCATATCTCGCTCAGTTTACTCCGGAAGACAGATTTACCTGTTTGAGTAACATCACGCCACGAATTTGCGAATACGTAGCGTCAGTTTACGTGGCCCTGAAACAGAGATCGCGACGACGTTTGATCGCGAGACTTTTTTTTTTTTTTTTTTTGGTCTCCACAGATGTAATACCAGCAAAAACTGGCTCTATAGATAGAAAAACGAGGGAATCGCGCACGTCTTATACAGAGAGCGAAGGCTGCCTTTGGCAAAATCAACGAACTTCGATAACGCGTGTCACGCAAGGCACTGTCGATTCACGCGGGAAAGGAGTCTTGTAAAAGGTCACGCCGTCAATCGCGTATGTAAACAAAACACTCGGTACCGTCCGTCGTTTTCTCTCTCTCTCTCTCTCTCTCTCTCTCTTTCTTCTGCCGCCGCGCGCAGGGTTCTCTGTTCCGCTCTGTAGTTTCTATTCACATCGTCGCTTCTCTCGCGCGGAATCCTTCTCTAAACTATACGTAGTTTCCACGCGCCGACTCGACCGTAGACTCGTCTGCCGTTCCGTCGTCGCCGTGGACTTTCCCGGTTTCAAGAACGCGCGACGCGAAACCGCCGCCGCCGTCATGTCGGCCTATATTCCTTGACCCATATAGTACCTCGTGCGTCATCGAGTCATCGACGTTTTCCTTGTTAACAAATGTACGCCTCTCTCTCTCTCTCTCTTTCTTTCTTTCTCCACCCTCCCCCTCCCTCTCTCTCTCTTTTTTCTCTTTCGTATGCTCACGGGCACAAACGACGACGGTATTGTTTACGTCCTTACGTCGACGACTGGTCCACTCGTCCGTTTCGCTCGCTTTGAAGGCTTGAATGCGCGATTCGGAGGAATCGATACGCCGCCACGTCGTCGTCGTCGTCGCCGCACACGTGACGACGGGTAAACACACTCACCGCGCGAGTTCGATTCCGCGGTCCGGGATGAACGGCGGGAAAGCTCGACCGACGACTTGAGCTCGCCCACCGATACCGTTCGCCCTTAACCCTTCCCTCCCCTCCGCTTCCCTTCGCCGCTCGTCCCTTCCCCGTCCGCCGCCTCTCGGCCGTGCGCTCCCGGAGAATTTTCGATAAGTGTCGTGTAATGTAAATTACGGTACGCAACACGTGTGCGATAACACCCTGCTGATACACGATTATAAAATTATGTCTCAAAACACACCGCTGTGCGTCCCAGTATACAGGTAATTGACGGCTGCGCGACACTTATCTCCGCGTCTCTAATTTCGATATTTACGTAAACGAGCCATTTTAATTTCCATAACCGTCGACGTGTTATAGATAAGAATTTAAAAAAGGGTGATCATTGGAAATCGCGGTCGGGTAGAATCTTTTCTTTTTTTCGGATTTATGTCTATTTCGATGTAGATTATCTTTTTTTGTTCACTCTCTTAACTTTTTTTTAATGCACGTTTCCACAAATGTAGGTTGAGAATTGGAAAAGGATGAAGAGTCGGTTGAGAGAGAATTAAAGTTAATTTACATTGACAGAAAGGGACACAATTTTGAGAACTAAAGAAGATTAAAAAAAATCTATACTGATAGAAATAGGCATTGAACTGTTTTTTTCGTTGAATCATTTCACTCAGTTTTCACTAATTTAACTCGGCAATAGAGGAAGCGTAATCAAACAGGTCTCTGTAGACTCTACCAGTCTTTGAACGCGCACTCGAAGACAGTGAGATATGATTCTCGTTGGACACTCGGCGTCGACAATAATAAACGCTAATTAAATCTTACTTCCGGTGATTTAAAGCGAAACGCTTTAACCTGAGAACATTAACCTTTGGAGGGACCACTCTATGCATCGAGTTAAGTCAATATCTCTCTGATCTTTAATACTCCGATTTTCCTTCTCCTCTGCTCGTGTAAATAGAACTGTTCTTCATAGCTGAATCTGTGCGGCTCATCTTTTCTCTACGATATAAGAATAGAAGACATTTCATGACGTTATAAGTTACAAGGATGGTCGAATATAATTTTGCAGCAAATTTCTTATTGGTCTTAGATTTCTAATAAAACTGTTTTATTATTGGCTTGCAACTTTTTGAGCAGATTTTCTACGCGGGAGCGAAACATCTTGCATTCTTGCATCACGCTTTTCTCCTTTTCACGTCGAAGAAAAAAAGAAAACAAATGCAAGAAACGGTGCAAGAAATTCAGCTAAGAAAAAACAAGCCTATTATCTTGACGAGTATTACAAGGAACATACCGAATTACTCTTTCCGAATGAAACTTGTTGAAGCACAGAGTCTTGTATAGGGAAAGTGGATCAATCAAGGTCCTTCATTTCCTTTCGTTCATGAAAAAAAAAATAAAATAAAAGACTGATTGCTCGATCCTCTTATGCGTTATGCAAAAGTCTGTGCTCCGGTCTTAACGGGGACCAATCGCACTGTCAAATCTCTCATAAAAGTTTTCGGACTCTCGCTTCGGAGCGTGGTATTCACAGCCGTTCCCGAGCGCGTTGTGCAAACACGCGCGGATGTGTAAATACGAGACTTGGTCTTTACACGAAAAGCAACAATCTAGCGAAGATCAGCATCCAGATTCCCAGGTAGAACACAGAGTCGTAATATCAAAAGACGTCATGTAATATCACGATGTCATTTGACTTAAAAACTACTTAAAAAATAATTTATGAATGAGAAGTGTGATGATATTGGGACGATTTCTGTGTTATACTTGGGTTCGAGTTCTTCGTCGGATAGAAGGATTCTTTATTCGCGACGAACTCTCTATAATTCTTTGGAATAAAATTTCGTTCCGAAAGAGTGAAAATTCCGCCACTCTTGAAGAAGAATAGCATTTCTTTAAGTTTTTCACTCTCTTTTGGGATAAAATTTACTTCGAACAATTTAGAGAGTACTTCAGACAACTACGAGATTCGCGAGTAATAATGCCGCTGACGACGACGACGATGACTATCCCGAGGTTGCCAGACGCGTGCTCGCCATGTTTCGCGGACTGTCCGGGCGAAACTCACGAGAAAGGGGGTTAGGTAGGCTCGCGGTATCCGGCACGATATCAGCGGCGATAGATAGGTCATTATGCAACGAGAGGTCCCCGAGAAGAGCACTGACGAAGTTCGCTCACTCGCTCGCGCGCGCGTGTGTGTACGTGAGAGAGAGAACGACACCGGCGCGCATGCGCCGGAAATCCCGCCAAAACCGTCGCGGGGAGATCTACGCGGAGCACGGGACTCGCCATTCCTCGAGCGCGACGTCGCGCCTCTCGCGCGCGTTAAACGCAGGGAGAGGCGGGAGGGGGGACGGAGGAGGAAGACGGGAGAGCGTGGAGGGACAAAGCGGTCGCGCGGGGAGGAGGAGGAGGAGGGGGCGACGAGTCCTCGGATCGGAGGCGCCGGAGGACGGGTGGACGGGGTGGAGGAGGAGGAAACGGTATATCGAGTGTTCGGAGAGGCACTTCTTCACCGACTGACGTCTGTGGGCACTAACTACACTTCGCCTCGTAATCATCGTCGACGACGAGAACACCGCGAGGCGGCCGCCGCCACCGACGACGACGACGACGACGTCGGCGGCGACCGCCTAGGAAACGAGAACGGGAGGCGCGCGTCGTCTTATCTCCCCTACGTGAACTCGGCCGTAGTCGTGTCGTTCGGGTTTACCTATAACCCAGCCGCCGAGAGACAGCCAACCCTCTGCCGATCGGTGACTCGCGGCGAGCCACGAACACGCGGATCGAAAACCGCTCACAGACTACTGCGTGTCAGACGGATTCCGCGCGCGGGAATGTTATGCGCGCGCGCCCCTCCGTCTCGCTCTCCTCTCTTCCCCCTGTCTCCGGGTGTGCGCGCGCGTCTGCTACGGCACACGCACACACATACTTTCTCTCTTTTCGGCTCTCCGTCTCCTCTCCTCTTCGCATACGCATACGCTCGACACACGCACACATGTCCGGAGACGCTCCGATTTTCTCCCGCTCTCTCTTTCTCTCTCTCTCACACTCACACACACGCTTCCGTACCGTGTATACGTCTCTCGCAAACGTCTCCCTGCCGCGCTATGGAGGCTGACCGTTGGCACTCGTCACTCGCGGCGTGTGCTGCGACGATGCTCACTGTACGACGTATACGCTCGATTCGGCAACTTTGATTTTACATCGGGCTTAACGTCGCGCCGCGCGCGGTTTCGCTCGCACCGAACAACAACCACCACCACTACTAACCACTACAAGAGAACAATCACCACCACCACCACCACCTTCCGACACCGCCGCCGCTGTCGTTGTCGTCGTCGTTATCGTTGTCGTCGTCCTCGTCGCTGCTGTCGTTGTCGTCGTTTATGCGGGTTCTCTCTACTTTATTTCTCTCTTTACTCTATCTAATCCGTATATGTGTATTCCCTCTCTCTCTCTCTCTTTCACCCACTCACTCTCTCTCTCTCGCTCTCTCTACGTGTATCGTGTGTGTATGTATATATACTTTTTTGTACTTTTCGCGTTACGTGTTATACGTGTTTATCGAACGTCGTGAGTGTTACTGTGAATAACATAACGACGGCGCGCCGGTTAACACGGCGTGGCTACGGGCCTCTGCTCATGCGAACGTTCTGCCACATCATGATGTTTAGTTCACTAAACTAACCACTAGCATGGCGACCGACCGACCGACCAACCGACCGACCGACACACACCGCGGCGCGCGCTCGTCGCTTACGCGCTTCTCGGCTCAGCCCTCCCCCTGCCGCCCCCCCCCCTCCCCTTTTCCTCCTCGTCGTACTGCGACTCGATTCTCTTCGTCTCGTTTCGTCATTGTCCGTCGCGCTCTCCCCCTTCTCCCCCACTTCGTCGCCGTGAGTCCCGGTGAGCCGTCGTCGCCATGATCGCGCTGTCGTCGTCGTCGTGTCCGCTTTGTTCCTTCGTCGTGTGCGTGGCAACGGCCACGTGACAACAGCGCCGCCAATCACGTGCGCGCGTTCCTCGCGCCGCGTCATGGAGGATTGTGGACTTGTCTTTATGGCGGGAACAAGTCGCGGAAGATATTCATGGAAAAGAATGTTTGCGAGCTAAAATATTGCAATGGTTTATGCGCGATGATCCACAAAATAATCTTAACAAGTAGTCTAATTTAATGACTCTTGTCATCAGGAAGTCGTTTGTGTATCTTGAAGCGAAAGTTACAAGAGTGAGCAAATTTATTAGGTGTTGATCAATGAAATTGTTAATATTCTTTTAAATTCAGTTTTGTGTTATTTTTTACCTCGTTTTTAGATATACAATTGACTCTAATGCATAGATAATTAAAAGTATTAAATTCTAAACTGCAAAGGGTTAATAAAGAAGGAGGTAAATGGTAGGAAAATTGTATTCCTAATAAAATGCAATATTTATTTGGAGATGAATATATATGCAGTTTTTTCCGTGTGATACTTTTATGCACTGAAATAATGTTGAGTATAATTTTTACAACGTGAATATGTTTGTTTGTTTCTTTAGGAGAAAGATACTTATGGAAACGAGGTAACAAGATTAGCGAGACCTTTGCCAGTAGAATATTTATTGGTAGATGTACCTGCGTCCACACCGCTTACTCCACAGTTCACCTTTTTCACAGATGATAACATTACTCCATTTCCAGTGGAGAACAGGTATTGCAGACAAGTACATATTGTATATACAAATGAGGACACTTAATGGAGTTATTCATATAAACATCTCTATTTTAGGCAGGTCGATGGACAAGTTCAGGAATTCAATTCATTGTGCACCTACATGCAACAATTTAACAGCGATCAATTTCTGGAGGCAACTTCTGATTTTCACTTGCTCCTTTTCATCGCTACTATGGATATGTATCCAATGAAGGTACGGCTTCTTTGATTTTTTTTATTTATAAAATAGCAATATATTCAATAACTCACTCAAATTTATTATTTAATTATTCCGATTACTTGTTCATATTTTTGCTGCAGTAACACTTTTTTACTCAAAATTTCCTTGTATTTATAAGACAAAAATGCCTTTTCATACTAACGATCGACGCTCATTTTTAACGGCAACATAAGTAACATAATCAAAAGATACACTAGATATTACATTTTTATTACTTGATCTCTTTTGATGCTAAAAATGAACGTCAAACGTATGAAGAGGCAGTTTAGAATTGGATTCGAGTCATTTGTTTAAAACAACTGCTCTACTATTGGGCTATATAGTGCCCCAATGATTGTCAATAATTGTTAACAAATTGTGTATTTTGTTTTACAGGACCATATGTTACCATTGCTCGAAGCTATCCGCAACAAGGACAAGCAAAAGGCATTGGAGTGGGCCCAATCGGAGCATTGGGCGACGGTGGAGCAACTCATATCTGTGACCTCCACGTCGTCGCGTCCTCCGCAAACGTCGTCTTTCGGTAACAGCTCAAGGACGTTGCCTTCCGTAACCGCGGAGGCCAGTGGAGGAATAGGCGTCGGTACCGAGCCGATTGCGAATCCACCACCCGACCAAGCTCTTTGGACCTGTTCTCATTGCACTTTTCTTAATGCCGCGGATTTAGCAGTTTGCGAGATGTGCAATCTGCCAAGGTACTCTTAATAAACTGTCAAAGCACTAACGACGAATTCAGTGTGCGTTTAAAAGGTGCTGTCTTTGAATCTACTACTTCGCTTCCGCAGGATCCTGACGCGTAACGTGTCCTCGCGGATATAACGATTGTTTTCTACGCATCTTTGGCCTTATTTATGAGTGAATAAAAAAAAGGAAGAAAAAAGTACACCAGTATTTTCCAACTGACATGTTTCCTTCCTACCAGGCTTCTCCCCGTGGTACACCTGTTTTTTTTTATCTGCAGCCAGTTTGTGGCAGATTTAGATGGCCTAATACAATATTAATCCTAGCAGAATGTCGTGTGAAGTTCTGTTTTATAAACTGATTCTCTAACGAATTAATGATATTTACTATGATTTTTTTGTGTTTGCAGAGAAGATGTTGAAGAGTATGATGAAGAGATGATGAGGGAGTTGTTTTGATAACAGAATCATGAGTTCAAGAATTCACTCGAGCCTAATGATGCTACAATGTTAGAAATTTGCGTCAATATTTTGGCATTAGGAAAATTCAATCGCATAGATCTGATTATTGATCACATATACTTTACATATATTATATACATATTTTTTCACAAATATTTAATTATTATTGGTATTGGGAGACACATGTAATATCTTGCGAAATGATTCGCAAAAAAAAAAACAGGTTATTATTATACATATGTGTGCAGGGTACATAATTAACTGATAAAAAGGAACTAAAGCATGTAGGTTGTTCACATACATTATACATATCCATTGTTTACTTAAATTATATTCCGAATAAAATTTCTCTTATCGTTAATAATAATTAATCTGTACCGACATGTCGTCGACTCTTTTGTCCTCGTTCATTTCAATTCTTCGATGATATAAATTCCTTGCAACTAATCTTCGAGACAACAGCATCAAGAAGACTGGAATTCTGCAGTTCCTCATCGTTGATCTTGTAAGTTTTTTTAACTAGATTCGCATCTGTAAATTCTTGTAGCCTTGAAATGGATACTTTCTCTCCCTTGATACTTTTTAAGATCTCCTTCATCACGGCTTCTTTCTCATCGAGCTTGTATATTAGTAGCACCAGGATATCTTTATCACTGTCACTAATACCAAACTCGATTAAAGAACGAGATATGTTCTTCGACATGGACATGGTAAATAAAACTTCCGTATATATATTCTTCGTAATCAGTTGATTTCGCTTAGCGTTAAGGGCGGCTTTATTGGCAGCCACTATCACCTGAAAAGCGTCGGTTACGAGCGCGACTTTCACAATGCAACATTGAAGTTTTCCAGCAATGAGTTTCTCACGTATTTCAGCGGTATTTGTGACATTGGTAAACATAAGTAACGTACAGTAGAACTCAGTCTCTTCGTCCAGTTCGACGCTATGATCATCCATGTCAATTGTTGACAGTTGTACTGCAGTGTATCAAGTAACTATACTCATTCAGGTGATAAGATGATCTCATTCAATCTTCTATTAGAAGATGCGGCATCTGCAAGCACGTGGGTCTCAGTATATACCTAAAGCCCGATCTACAATTGCGTAAACGTAGTTGTAAAAATTGACTAATCATAGTTGTATACGAGGAGAATATTCGACTCATTGGTCAATTCTTACAATTCCAACCACTAGTTGTAAATTACGTTTACACAATTGTAGATCGGGCTTAATAGATACCTATATATATATATATATATATATATGTATATATATAGTATGCTTGAAGATATATATATATATATATAGTATGCTAGGATATTTTTGAAACAAGATGAAAATTACAAAAGCGACTGTTACCAACGCCGATTAAACGTCGATTAACTTAATCGACGATTAGTCCATTGGAATTGACCAATCGCGTCTATCGTCAAAACTAAATGATAAATGCGATTGGTCAATTCCAATGGACTAATCGTCGATTAAGTTAATCGGCGTTGGTAACAGTCGTCCTTAGGGGTACGCAGAATAATAGGCCTTCTACAATAAGCCATTACCTAAGTTTGAAGTATTAAGTCTGTTAGCTTTTAATTTATTTACTCAATAGCATTTATATCACAAAACTAGAAGATAATTATTAGAACAGACAGATGTGAATACAACGAACGATCGAGAAACAATAGACCGACGAAAAAGCAAAATGAACATAGGAAACGTATCTTATGATACCATCTGTCGAATAACTTAGCATACTATTTGATATCATCTGTAAAGTGTAACACACATGCAATTGTCTCGATCTGCCGCGACATACAAATTATATCTTTAAAGTCATAAGAAATTGACCACTCACAGTCGATTATTCTTCTCACATTCGATTGTGATTGGTAAATTTCTTATGATTTAACATTTAAAACTTAAGTAATGGCTTATTGTAGAAGGCCCATAAAAGGAACAGGGAACAGAGAACAGAGAATAAGAATTTCAACCTATCAGAAATCATGTACTGTGGAATAAACAATGTGTATTCCATAGAACATGACTTCTGATAGGTTTTGAAATGATCTAAAAGAATACACCAATAAAAGCGAGCGCTCACTCAACTGTTGAGTCCGCTGAACGTAGAACGCACCCAATAAACCGATGCAACTGTTGCGCTTGCTGAACGTAATTGATTACTCGTTGCGCGCTAACGCCATCTACTTAAGTAAACATCTCAGCTGGAATGGGAACAGTAAAAAAAGCATGCGGCTTACTCGAATGATAAAAGAATGGGCCACGCGTATTCAAAAAATAATTTTAAATAATATCTAATAAATTTTATTACATATAAATTAACGTGAGACGTATATTACAATAAGATTGTAATATCTACATATTTTATATTAATAAAATTTTTGCTTAAAGAGTTATCTTATTTTCTATACGTTCTATAACATATCTATACTATATTTTTAAATTTTTTTATAATAATATGTTCTTATTAGCGTATTGATATAAATATATTAAAACAAAAATCAATGAATGTTTGTTGTATAACCATGAATACATGAAGATAAGTATATTTCACAATATATGTTAGTAATGTGTATCTATATATATATAGTGGCGTCAGCTGCAACGGCTTTAATTGATTTTTTTTTAGAGCGCGGCGATTAGATACATGATTTAATCCATACTCAGAATGCTGATAAGCAGATCAGCACGGACTTCTATAACGAAATAACAATATTAGAAAATTAATAATATAAGAATCTTAAATTAATAATGTTATGTTATTGTTGTTTGTTCTATATATAATGTTACAGAAGTCTGTGTTGTAACTTATATAATGATATTAGTACTCGTTTAGCATTATATTCACGTTACATATATATATATTATAAATATAAAATTTTAGAAACGAAAGCGCGCATTTATATTGATAAAAATTTGTTGAACATAGAGTTGTCATCGTAAAATAGTAAACGTCTTGAAATTTGCAACTTGTTTACTTGAGAATGTGTGAAACATGGTGTGAAATATCTCGTATGTCACAAATGACTGATAATGTTGATAATAATAACGTTCTTGGTGCATGAAAATTGTGAATGATCATGATTGTCACACTTTTGCATAATATCAAAATTGGAATAAAATTAATTTTTATTGTCGCCCATTATGACGGATGATACATCGCTCGAGAATATTTTAGAACAATTATTCGATTGTGGTAAATTTATTTTCTAACGTTAGATTAATCGACATGTAGAATAATCTTACGAATTCTTAAATATAAAATCTGTCAAATATATTTCATTATATCTATTTTACAACTTATATATTGAATAAAATTCTTTAATCAGCATTTTTCATAAAAATTAAGAAAAAAATTATTTTAAATTATTTGCACAGTACAATTAGGAGTAGAATGGAGTTCGGAGAAACTTCAATCAATGTGTCCTTCCAAGAAAAGAAAACCGAAAAAGAAATGTAAGCCAGAGAAAGCTGAAGAAGATTCTGACATAGGTCCACCTTGTATAGAGCAACAACCATATATACTTCCTAGTCAAATTTGTCCTAAATCGGTCTCTTGTTGTTATATAAAAATGCAGGTATAAACAAAAAATCAAAAGTGTTAATATTACTATCATATACTTTTTAAATTGATTATTGAGAAAACGTGATCTTTTTCTATTATTAAACATAATTCTCTATATTATTATATTATGCATTATTAATCGTAAATAAGTCTACTATTCCTTTTGTATCTTATACATAATACATATACTATATATATATATATAGTAATTAAAATTAACTATAACTTACGATAATCAAAATTAATTTTTGAAAAAGGTAATAAATTAGAGAACATTATTCAATATAAAATTTGTAACACAGAGTGAAAAAGATATGCATGTGTGAAATTTATTCTTATAATTTTTATAGATGTAATAATTTGGATTAAAATATATATGTAATATATTATATATATAAACATATACATATATATTAACCTCAATGGTTTTTTTAATTAATTAAAAATTTTTGATTAATTCCATGTATAAAATTTTTTAATATTTATAGGATCCTTATGCCCCATGCTGTTGCGAGACGAAACCGCAACCACCCCCATGTCCCCCCAAATGTTATCATCGCCAACCACGAGAACCAACCTGTGGTTGTGATCTCTGCAAAAAGAGTGTCGAGAGCAAGTTTTGTGAACCGATCGCGGCTTTTCGTACTGCAGCCAGTGATTCAGAATATTTCAAAACATAAAAATTTGTAAGATTCAGTCAGCTCAAACATGTATTATATATATATATATATATACACAAATGTAAACACAAATGAAAATAGAAAAGAAGATACTGAAGAAAATGGCGATTAATTACAATCATCAGATAATCACATTTTCTTGTGTATATTCAAATATATATATATATATTTTTTTTCGTAATCAACACACACACCTCTCTCTCTCTCTCTCTCTCTCTCTCTCTCTCTCTCTCTCTCTCTCTCTTTCTTTCTCTCTCTTTCTCTCTCTCTCCATCGTATTTATCTTTCTCAATTATTTATGGCAATTATTTTCATCGTTTGTGTTCAAATTGATTTGTTTTTCTGATTTGTTTTCCAGCTCAGTCAATTAGATAATCTCTATGGCTCAAAAGTTCCAGTAGCATGTAAGTTTACATGATCAATATACATCTTTTGCATAAATATTATTGATATGAGATGTTTATAAACTATTAGATAAATGAAATAATTTTATATATCTCTCTCTAGAAGGGTGCTAATAAAATTCTATTTATGTCTCACAGTAATCTACGGGTAAATTTCTCTCAAATTTTGTACCTTTTCTATAGCAGTAATATTGAATGGAAAAAAAGTAACAATTTTATAATATAATGATTAAAAAATTAATTGAATGCATAAAACATTTACAATCATCTTAACGTAATAAAGCAGAATTTATATTGAATTAACTGCAGTTTCAAATTGAAAGACATTGTATGTTTCTGTTTTTTTTTTACCACACAGAATTCTCCGAAAACGAATCGATTATAATAATGAATTGCGCGCGCGCAGTTATTCGGTTATTCAGGGAGGAACTTATAAATTTAAGTGTTTCGAACGTTTCGGTCACTTCTACTCAGAACACGTATACTCGATATTCCAACTAACGAGTAATCTTATCGGTGCGGTCGCTTTAACGCGAACATTTCAGTTGTCTCTAAAATACGCCCAGCCATCTGACGCATCGAAGACCTCGTTACTCTTTAATGTAAGTTATTAAAAATATGCTTAGAATTAAAAATAGCATATTTCTTTATATACCGCGTACACGCCAAATTTCTGTGAACGCGCATGTTCCTATTTGTTATCGTAAATTGTAATTTTTTGTATAATGAAACGATCTAATTATTTGATATGTATATAAAATTTAATCGATTTTACCTTGCGATAAACCTTATTACAATAAACTACGTAAAATAATTACATTTAACTATAGTCATCAGTCGTCGTTGCATCAGTCTACCTATATATATATATATATTTCTGGCTAATCATCAGCGCGTTATTAAGTGCTTTCTGTTTAGTGACACACGTTGATACAAATATTATTCTTTCTTTCTTAACATTCAGAGAGTAACAAAGATGGAAAGACATTTGTGTCGACTTGTGATATTATCAATAAATGCAAACCCATTAACGATTGGACATGTAGTCGGTTCTTCCAAGGTATATATACTTTCAAATATTTCCATTTAAACTTTATACGTTGTTGAAGTTATTATTTGCACTTTGTTTTCCACTTCACGAAAGCGAACGATATTATATCAAAACGAAAATTTGCCAAGAAGACGTTTTTCAATAACGACGTTTTCCACACTTCTACACAAACGAGGTACTTAATTCTTTCTATTTAATAATTACATCAAATAATTGTATTAAAATTTGAGTGACATACATTTTTTAAATTCACCTAATTAATTTAGCAATAACAATAATCTGACAACGCTCGATAAATTTGCGAAACAAACAATATTAAATACGATCAATAACGAGCAAAAGAAGATATTTATTTAAAATGTTTTTTTTTATATGTGTATATAAATGTAATTTAACAACACATTTAATACAATGAAAAATTTTTTTCTTTTAGAAGTAATACAAACGTTTCGACTCATAGAGTCTTCTTCAGTATAAAAATGGTTATATAAAGGTTTCAGCAATTTTAATGTGGAAATAATAAAAAATTAATAAAAGCAAGTTAATTCTAATTCGTTAAATAATTTACAGTTCTGTTATATATGTTTGTTATCGCAATAATTAATAAATAGATTCAACTAACCATTATCACTGGATTCACGTGAGATGATAAGAACACGAGAGTATAAAAATGGTTATAGAAAGGTTTCAGCAATTTTAATATAACTATAACATCGTGTGATCAATATTGAGTGAATGCTATTTTTTATATCCAAAATAATTTTTTTATTCATATTCTTATTAATTTCTCTTCTCAAATTAGAGAATGTTAAATATGTTGTTAAATTACATATTTATATACATAAAAAAAACTTTAAATCAATATCTTCTTTTGCTCATTATTGGTAGTAATTTAGCAATACTTCCTCCTGATATGAGTCAGGAAAAATATCTCGCGTTCTTATCATCTCACGTGAATCCAGTGATAATGGTCAGTTGAATCTATTTTTTAATTATTGCGATAACAAACATATATAACAGAACTGTAAATTATTTAACGAATTAGAATTAACTTGCTTTTATTATTTTTTATTATTTCCACATTAAGCGATTAAAAAGAATCGTGTTTTACTTGGCGTTTCCAAAGCTTGCAAGCATATTATAATCTCACAAATTAAATATCAGAATATTAAGGATGTTTTTTATTTGGCAAAACAATTCGATATAAATGTTCTACACTCAACAGCAAAATTAAAGCATCACTTATCCTGCCTCCCCAAAATAGGCAAATTTCAAAAGAGTATAACTTTGTCAAAAATAATCGTAAAAAAATGTGTTAAAAAAGCATTCTAAAGCTTGAAATCTCTACTTTCGAAAATGGTAATTGATATTTCGATTTGATTAATTCTTTACGAAGTTATATGTTGACACAAATGAAATGAAAAATTTCAAAAATTTTTACTAACTTTGAAAAGTTTCACGGCGTGAATTAAGAATTGCATAAAAATTCGGTTTACAGCATTTGTTCATAATTTTTAGTTCGTGTCGTGGAACTTCTCAAATTTCGTAAAAAATTTTGAGGTTTGACGCATCTTCACTTATGTTTATGTAACTTTTACGAAATATCAGTAATACCGTTTTTTGAAAAACCGGTATAAAGAGTAAAGATTTCAAGCTTGAAAATGGTTCTTTGAACATTTCGATACGATGATTCTTGACAAAGTTATTTTATCTTGAAGTTTGCCTGCAGTTTTTTAACAAAATTAAAAAAGAATATAAACTATCTACAAAACTATTAAGTTTTTGGAATTTGACTCTTTAAGTTACAACAAATTAAAAAGTAAATTATAACAAAAATGACAGGTAATGTGAGTCAGCCGCTAATTATTATTATTAGCGAATATAATTTTTTGATATTTCAACTTATGCACCTTGTACGTTTCGACTCCTGTTTTGAGTCATCTTCAGTAACAAGTTCAAGTAAGTTACAAACTTCATTATTATTAAGACGCAGGAATTGTTGAGGTGAGGTAGAATTCTAAGTTACTTCCTTTCAATTTTATATTATTTTAATTAAGTTTTTTAACCTCGTGTACGCATCCAACTTTACCAATATTGTTATACGCACCCGGGGTACCTCGGTACCCACCTCTAATTTATTAAATTTTTTAAATTTTTATGCAATTGAAATGATTTCCTTAACGTTTATTTTAATAAATAAACATAAAAAATAAGTGCCCGAGGCATTTGATTCATATTACCTATCATTTTTGTTATAATTTACCTTTTAACTTGTTATAACAAAATTAAAGTCATTTAATATTAAGAAAAAGGTTCATTTTTACTTCAACGTTGAATGACTCGGTGAAAAAAAAAATCGTACAAAGCACAATAAAAAAATAAATTAGTTATTTTTTTATTTAATTATTTATTTAATTAAGTAAAGGTTAACGCTTTCGAATGCTGTAAACCGAATTTTTAACTCACGCCATGGAACTTCTCAAAGTTAATAAAAATTTTTGAGATTTGACGCATTCTTCATTTGTGTCCGCATAACTTCGTAAAGAATTAATCAAATCAAAATATCAATTATTATTTTCGAAAGTAGAGATTTTAAGCTTTTTTTTTACTAATCTTTGTGGCTCAGGCCGTTATACATATTGATTTGAGTGCCCTTGTGCCCAATCCTGCTCGACACCTGTTGATGCCTTCAGACATGCGTGTTTCTGTCGACTTAAGTCGTGTATCGATTCTTGACTATACGATGATAACTTCGACCTAACTGGCGAGTAATCGCACGAAAGACTAGAATCGACCAAAACTCGATGAAAACTTCATTGACATGGTGGACGAGTGAGTGCGAAGCGCGATAGAGATTTACGGAACAATTTTGTGCAAATATAAATATAAATAAATTCTGAAAGCCGCGAATTGCCGGAAAAACTCGAGTGTGTGCTGCTTTTGCTGTCAGTTGTTGATTGGTAAATTGATATACAGATTTGTTATAATGATTGCCATCTACGATATTAATATACGATATGTTATGTATATCTATATAGGGTGTTTCTTAAATAAGGGCCATTAATAGTGTTATTCCTTTAAAAAACTGAGTTGAAAAATTATTTACCGTTTCGCAATTTTTTGCAATAATTAACGAGATATTAATTTCTAAAGATTGTTGAATAAATTAATAAAATCGATGTATTCATGAATAAATGAATGTAAGACAATTTTAAGATAACTTTCAGCGTTCGTTATGAAACATTTTAAAGATATTTCTTCAAAAACTTTTAAAAATATATCTTAAAGCTTTGTCTTATGTGTGTGTGCCGATTTTAGATATTTTACTCAGATGAGTAATTAAAAAAAAATAATAAAAAAAAAAATACTGCGAAAATTGCGAAATGGTAGAGGACTTTTCAAATTAATTTTTTATCAGAAATAACATTATATGATTAATGACCATTATTTAAGAAACACCCTATATATTGTTTCATCTCGAGACTCGCTCGATGAATCATACTATTGCGAGAAAACACGCTATATGAGTCTGGTGACGTCAATGCATTTAATTAATGTGTATATAGAGATTCCAATTTTTAAGTGCCGTAAAAATTAATTAATTACAATTAGATAATTGTAACTAAATAATCTTATAATTGTATTATCTATAGTCAATAATCTATATGATCTACTATAATATAATAATTATCGAAGTGTAGCTCTTAATTTTTATTTTAATTTCATTCCTTTTAATTTAATATAATAATGTGTGTATCTAATCTTATACATATAATGTATAGAGAATACTTATTTTTCGAGGGAGCTTGAGATTTTAAAGAAATTTCTATACCCTTGACTATATTGTCTTATTAATTTCTAAAGTATAATTTTTAGTTTGAAAATTACGATAATTATTCAACTTGATTAAATATTGATTCACTTATACACGTGCAAAGTAAGATAATTTAACACTAACCAATTTAATAAGTAATTAATCATAATTAATCAATTTAATACTTACAGTATGCACTTTTCTAAGGGAATACAATTAAAAAATCTTTTGTTCGTGTTGTAGAATATGCTTTCAATATTGTAAAAATATAAATTTTTTATATATAAAATTTTCTTTTGGATTCTTCAAACAACGCTCTATTCGAAAGTTACAATTATTAGATAACTTACAAGTTAGACTATACGTTTGTACTAATACTGTTGTAGGTTTATATGAAAGACTTTGGCAGCAGCACTGAATACAAATTGTATAATACATATATTATATAACATATGCAATAAACGTAAACATTCAACTTAATAGTGTTTACACAGCGTACTTCGATCGAGAAACGTAACGTAGATGTTATAATATCTATAATGTCAAGATGTTGTATAGATATCGTGATATTCGTGCTCGATAAAGTGTATTGTGTGAATATAAGTATAATATTACTTAATATATAATTATCTTCGAAGAATTTAATTTGAAGAAATAAGGACATTAAAAATTAAATTTTCCCTCGACAAGAAATTTGTTTGTAAAATATCTTGATAATAATAAAAGAGAAAATTGAAATCTTAAAATATAATATAAATTTTAAATTTTATGAAAGAATTTTCTTCTTTCTCGGATTTTCTCTTTATGACTAACGGTGATTTGTAGCAGATAGCAGAGATAAAAATAGCCAACTACTTCGTGTAATTTGGTGACGCAGATTGACATCATTGTGTAACAAGGAAGGCACTTGGATTTATATTATACGTTCATTTATATATATATATATATGTATGTATATATATATATAATTGAGTTCATTGAACTTATAATAAAAGAAAAAAACTATTTTGTGCGCTCTTAAATTAATTTGTACGAATGGTATAGAGTTTTATAGTTTCCTTTAAGTTTAAACAAATATTAAAGTTACATTTTTCTGCGCGCAAATTTATTATTTTTATACTAAGTTTTGCCTTAATTTCAGTTAATTGAGTAAAATTAATTATTCATCTCTCAATTAATTTTTAATTCTCTAGGAAGTTTGAAAAATAGTGTAATATTTAAGATAAAACATATAATTCTAAGAAGATCATGAAATTGTTTATTTAAAATTTCGATATCGTGCTTATTTTTGAAATGCTCGATTTTGTTTCAATCGTTCTTATGCCGTCCCGTATTGCCTCTGCTTACTCCAAGGAGGCAGGAGCCATTAATTAAGAAGTTCTTATGCCGTCGTCCTTATCGTAGGACTACGATAATAAGTTATAACGTCTCTGACTATAGATAATCCCGTAGAATAACCGGTTTTGCTAATATATTTCCTTGCAACTTTTTTCCTGTTGGTCTCCGTAGGAAGCATATTTTTGTACAGCGATGGATATAAACTTGGCTGTATTGTAAAATACTAAATGTCATAGCTATGTATATTCATGTGCTACAGACTATTCCAAAATAATAGCATGATATATTTGTTAATTTGCAAATGAATAAAATTAAATCAATTTTTCTCGATTATACGCGTAATAATTCACTGGAAATCCAAACATATTAATTGATAATTAATTGATTGATAAATACGCAATAAAATAGATTAATATGCATATATATGTAATTAATGCCAAATGTAATATTTATAATTAACACAAGCTAAATATAAAATTATATCAATTTGAAAAAGATAGAAATTTAATTTTTCTTTTTTTTCCTTTTAATCATTTTTTTAAACTTCATCTTTTTCTGTGTCCATTCCTTTTTGTATCTTTATACTTATATCTTATAATAATTCTTATATCTCATACTTTCTTTCTTATATCTTTTTATAAGAAAGTAGGTATGCCAAAAATGTTGATAAAATTCACCTGCACAAATGTTTGAACGAAGATCAAAGTGGAAAGAAAGTGTTAGTACGTTTATGAATTTAACCTTGCACTGGGCAACAGGTTTCCTAGAACTGGTTTCGTATCTCGTACAGTAAAAATAAATACTCTGCTCAGAAGGGGGGAGGGGATCTTTCCACTTGAAATCTTTCAAAAAGATACGAGACTTAAGACTGGTTCATAGTTCGTTTGCATTTTACTCGTAAGGCCATCTTAAGCAATATCTTAAGATGCTTTCTGATTGGTTTATGACATTTTAAGACTGTAATTAAGACAGCCTTAAATATAAGAATCGACTATGAATATCGGCCTATATATGAATTTATATAGTAACTTCGAGATTGGTAAGCGAAAGAAAATAAACAGACCCATTCATACAAAATTGGTAATTTTAGTGAGAAAAAAACGTAATTGAGTCCAATTTTTTGGGCTGTAACTTCGTGAAAATAGTTTTTGTATAAGAATCAAGATATAAGAATTTAGTTATTTGTATCTGTTCTTGTTTCAAGACCATTTTAAGTGACATTTTGAGATGCTGTATGTGATTATGACTTATGCGATTAAACTGTATTTAAAACGATCTGAAATATAAGAATTTCTTACTACGAATACCGGCTTAGAAGAATCATATTCATGTATCTCTCGATAGCTTCGAGGAATAATATCGGGTTCAAGTTCAATCTCTTCGGGGAGATCTCCTTGCGCTCTCCGTTCTTGAATCGTACTCGACCGTAATTTAAGCCGACGATCGGAGTAAAAAATCGACAGTCAGCTTTCAACGTCAGAGAAGCAAGGAAGGAGACAGTGATGGTCGTGATTGCGTTTTCGGATCTTCGTATCCTCGCGTTTGTATTCCGAGCCGAGTGTGACGTGAGTTCCTCAGGGTCGCCATTGGGGATCGATTAAGGAGCAGCGGTACCGATTCGAGCCGCACGAACGCGCGCTTCCTCACGATTGGTCGTGCCACTACGATCGTCTACGTCGACGGACTTGTTTCTCTCGGCGGGGACTGGGGTTTTCCTGCAAAGATACAGGCAATATTTTATATTCGTTCGCTAGATTGTCCTCCGCAGTAAGCATTCGGTACTCGAAGGAGGCAAGTTCGTTAAACAAGATGCGTACATGTAAGTAGATTCGATTAATCTGCAGTTAATCAAAAAGGCGAACTATTCTTACGCGATCTCGGTTTATGTATTTCTTCGTTCGACATCGGGCACGAACAAATTCAATCGTTATTTTATAAATCCACGAAATACGCGAGTGACTAAAATTTGTGTAATTTTGACAGTTTTTTAAAAAGTGTTTAATTCGTGATATTTGTAACATTTCTTAACTGTGAAAATTGAACCCGATATAATTTTGAAAAGATTGAGAGACGTGAAAATGATTTTTAAATTTTTATAATATGTGTAAATTTTTTTTTGTGTGTAAAAAAATAATTAGCATTATTATTTATATTAAAAAGCTCAAACTAAATATTATTATCAAAATTTTGTAAACACATTGAAACCTCTAAATTGATTTTGTTTGTAAAAATATCTTTGCATGATCGATTTAGAAATTACAATAATTTTTTGTTATATATTATTATAAAATAATTTTTTATTATATGATTATATATTATTTATAATCTTTAATATTATCTTTTAGATTTATGTATATGTAATTTGTAGCTGTATATATACATATGTATAGTATATATTACATATTTAGAAATTCTGATAATTACTTTTATATTTATATTACATATATGTGTAGTATAGAAGTATATGTAATAATAATTATCAGTATTTTTGAAAGGACCAATCGTATTTTAAAATATAATATTTTAATTATAACCTTTTAACGGAAGGATAACGAATTTTGTATAACGAATTTATTTGTATCTGTAACATATATTAAGAATGATCCAATCGGAGTTGAAACGTCTGTTAATTTGTAGCTACATGTTTCAATATTAAAGTTTCAGTTTTGTTATATTACTGGCTTTCTTTGCCCTTTATTATTTTAATTGTATAATATTTTAACTTTTTGGCTTGTTGCCCTTCTATTTATTGAAATTATATAATATGTTTAAATGAGAAATCTCTGTAATCTTTCGAAGTCTAAAAATAGATTTCCATAATGTAATTTAGAAGTTAAACGAAGGAAAACACAAAAAAAAAAACAGAATGTTAATAAAAAAAGAAGACTTTAGAACTAAAATAAATGTTTCTATATATACTGCTAAAGTACTACTGAAAATAGTACTTTATCTATATAATACATATATTTTATATATATTTTTATATTGAAACGCAGCTTTAGTTTGACTCCAAAATTACTGTTTTTTATTTTAATAATCCTGTTTCTTGCTTAAGTTTCTCTTCGCATAACTTTGAAACTATTATATGACGTCAATTTCTATACTTTTAAAGATTACAGATTTATTATTTGTTTTATTTTACTTATTTCTATGTATTAAAAATATATTTAAAAAATTTGTAAATAATTTTAACAATACAGAATTTATTAAAATGTACGTGTTTTCTACATTTTTTAAATTTCCGAAGATATTTCTCGGATTTTTGTATTAAATCTGATTTAATATGTATTTATTTAAAAAATTATGCATTTATTTATCGAGAATGTAAGAAGACACTGCAAAAGATTAAAGATATGTAAGAAAAAGACTTTTACTAGACGAGAAAAACCGCGAAAGGACATTCGAGCAAAATGGCAAAAGAGAATAATCTTAAAATAGGTGATTTTACATTAGATTCTTCTATTATTATCTTCTTAATTTCTTTCGCGCCACGAGATCTAATGGACCTATCGGATACGATTGCCTCACAACGTGATAACCTCAAATACTCTCTCTCTCTCTCTCTCTCTCTCTCTCTCTCTCTCTCTCTCTCT